ACACCCCCACACACACACACACACATACGCACACCTTTAAAAATGTAGAATGTGTAACACAGCTCCACTAACCTTAGGGGCTGTTTCACAAAAAGGTGTAAAGTTAGTTTTGGGGCTAAAATCTTGGCCTATTAAAACACAGTTGACATAATTGCATTTCAGAAAGAATTTAAATGTTTGCTTACTAGTACCTTGTTTTTGCATTCATTTTTTATTTGGTCCCTTGAGCAAATTGTGATGGTATTGATAAAAGTGTTTGCTCTCAGCGATGAAAGTAGCACACTTACTGGTAGGTATGTCAAATATATTTACAGTGACCCAATCATTCTTAATAAGCTATTACTAGTAAACCAATACTGCAGAATTGACTTTGCATAGCAGGCTATCCAATTTTATCTAAGCTTGAGACTTTTTGTGCAACAGGCCACTGGATGGCACTGTGTAGGGGGAACACCAAGAGGAAATGAATGGAATCTAGAGCATTTCAATACAAAAGCATTTGCTTTTCTGTAGGACATCATATCAAATAGAAAATTTATATCTTGCACATCATCAGAACATGTGCTTCAATGTTCTTATGCTTAACTTTTGTAATTATAAGATTTGTTTCAAAGTGCATGACTATTTGTTTATATTTGGCATTGTTTATTGTTTGAATCATCATTATCATGATAATCATTATCAATATAAATATAAACTGATGTACATGTACTTCAGTTCGTTTGGGAAATAAAAATATTCATTTAATTACAAATAAAAATATAATCCCTTTTAATGATTTCTTTTCATTGCTTACTCAATATATTGAAAGACAAACTTTCAAACTATTTGTCAACAAGTAAGTCCCTTCTGTAAATAAAATTATAATTGGTCATGTCCCTATCTATGGGAAAGATGGTGATAAATCAAATGTACTGTATCTTTAATTGACTCAAAACAAAACTCCAACATACCTCAGAACTTTGGCCCTGGCTAATGACAGAACTTGTGCCAACTTGGAACATGTACAAAATGATCTGATAAAGCAGCTGTCCTACAAGTCCCTGACAGTAAAACAGCTGTGTAATTTAAATCCAAATAGCTATATAATTTGTTGCCTTGCTCACCTTCACACTGTAACCCTCTTAATTACACCCTAATACAGGTGCATGCTCTTTTAAAACCCCTACTTAACCATGATATGCAGCAGTATCAGCCAAGACCAGTGGAAGTGCCCTATGTTTCTGTACATCTTTAGCAGTCACTTAAAGAAAACCATATATAATTATCAATGAATTAAGTAGACAGAAGGATGTATTAAACAAAAAGCTGATTGTACCCTGGAAAGATCAAAGGATTACGGGCTTCCCCTATCACAGCATATCTGTATATAGTGATCTGGTACTTGTTTTTGCATGTACCCGATACTTTGTTAAACTGTCATTTATCTTTTAAAGAGACTAATCTAACATATGATTAAGAACATGCAATTTGGTGAGCGTGCATATTTGCATGTTTCTATGTGCCAACATGTTACTGGAGACTGCTATCTTTGGCATTCACTACTTGCATAGGAAAATTGTATTTAACTTAGAAGCATATCGTTGAAACATTTTATCACTTATGCAATTTAAACAGAACTGAATAAGTCCTTTAGTAAGGCAAAGGGGAGGGGGGGGGGGCACATGACTTAAAGCGCACATCAAGTAGTCACACCTATCACAGCCCCATTCCCTGATAAACTCTGACCATTAGATGAAATATATATTGACTGGTGAAGTATCAGTTTATTTCACAAGCTATAACCAAGAGAACATACAGTGGATGTTATTCAGATTAAGCTAAATTCTTTCTTTTTTTATGAACCAGTGCTGTCAGATTGATCAGTGCTTCACAATGGGACATTTTCAATCTCTAGAAAACCAGGTGTTACAGTTTAAACAAAAAATGAATGGATGTCCAATGCTAGGTGTAACTAAAGTAAACACTGACTTTACACATGAAAAATTCCCATGATAGCAAATATTTCTACCAGCATAAACCTGTCACATTTCTCACCTGAGAAAACATGCATCATGACATCACCTATATAAGATACTATTAATGAGACATCAAACTGATGTCTCAAAGAAGAAAATCTTACAAATGGATTTCAAAAGAGAAAAAAAAACATTACAAGTGCCTTAATTGTCCAGGAATCAAGTCCAGGAATCAAGTTTTACTCACAGTGTACAGGTACCTTGTCTAAATGCTTTGAGTTAAAACTATATCCTATAATCCACCTGTCCATACATCCTATATGACTTGAACTTGTACATTTTTTTCTATTCATCACCACATTTGTATGATACAAACACAAAGATGAAATTGGTGATCATGAGATTCCATAAATACTTGAGTCTCGGGAACAATAAAAGTTTTCAATACCTACCGCCATAATCACTCAGTCAGTGTGTACAGACCTATATAAAAACTAGGACACTGCAAACATAAACCCAAATTCATATCTTTCAACAAAATGTCAACAAAACCCCTGGGAATTCAACACATAAATGGAGACAAATATCAAGACCTTACCTTACGTGAGATAGGCCCGAGCAAAGAATACCTCTATTATCTATAAAGCACACTACGCATTCAATACTAACCTGATATATTCTCAACCTTAAGCTAAGTGACTAAATCATGGAGGAAATATTCAAACAAGTATCCTATTCAAATCAATACGGGTGTTCCGTCAAGTCTTGTTTACTCAGGTCAATAGGCAGGCACAGCTACCGGTTTTCGAGTGTTTTTTTCCCCTCCCTCTACCATATATAGATATGTTAGACACTATCTGTGCTGCCTTCACCCCCGCAGCTCGTCAGCCCCCCAGGTGACGTCAAGCTAAAGGACACATTCCATGACAGCTGTAATCTGAGATATGTCAATGATAACCAACAAGGTGTCAACCAATGTTTTGGACACTTAAAGGGCCCATTATTCACTTGCTGGGTACACAGCGTAATTTGATTTTAAACTGAATGATTGGCTGGTGATATGTTTTCAGGATCCACTAATGACTTTTCAGAGGGTGTTGAACTCTTTGGTCTCTGCTCACAATACCTTCTCTCATAAGCTTAATATCTTATATTGATAAAGTCAGATTGATTGATTTTCTTCTATTTTATTTCAATGTCCCAGTATATTCATTTTCTATTTTAAATCTGATTTTAACTCGAAGTTAGCACTGACATAATATGCCACTTTCAGGACCATCGAAGTATTAATTTGTTAAGAAGTAACTGTTCAAAACATTACTGTCACATTAATCTGCTATATATTTCACATTAATCTGCTCTATATGTGTAACTAAAATGAAGATGCACTTGGAGACAAACTTGCATACCATATGACCAGTCAACCTTTCCCTGCACTCTGACAGTAGCCATCCTAATACATGCTTAGTACTTAGTTACATTCATTGTGGTTTCACACAACTTACACCAATTATTTAGTAATTCTATTTATCTGATGCTGATTAATGCTCAAGAAATGCCATGGGTAAACCACTGCTGATGATGTTTATATTCATAATTCAAGGTCTCCAACTAAAGAAATCAGAGCTTTTCATTAATTCTTCCTAAAATAGATATTTCTTTTATAATAATTATTAAATAATAATAAAAAGCATTTATCATTAAATACATTATATGGTAGTAATATTGTGAATAACTTCAAATGGGTCTTCTGACACTTGAGAAGAGGTTTATAGGGACAGTCGGTCATCCGGGCACTTTACCTTAGCAACCGGCATCTGGGGTAAAACAAATCGGGCAACATGGCGGATCGCATTGACTTCTATGAAAAAGTTGGCAGACTTTGTCCGAAGATATCATACTTCACAGTTCCTGACCACGTGTGTCAGTGAAGTTGAGTTATTTACCTGGTTGATTTCCTTTACAGGCTTCTGTAATTAGCCGCTGCACACCTGGTTAAGAGATAACATCGGCCTTAACTGCCGATCGTTATCTGTGATCGGGAATCTTACAGTGGTAGATTGCAAAGACTCATTTGCTTACCTGGATGAGCATATTATTCACATCTCTTTGAAAAGAAAAACATTTGAAAGCAACTGATAATATCAAGGAAGGTTTCAATTGTACTAATAACTGTTGACGTTGCATATTACTGACACATAATATGCTCATCCAGGTAAGCAAATGACGGGTAGATTTGCAAGCTTACTGAATTGAACCGGTACCGTTTAACTCTCAGGCACGCGCACAAATGTGAAATGGTGGAGGCTTGCTGTGCACCAGGTGACACTACCAACACATTAATAAAATCTTATGGGATTTGTTAAATTTCAAAGATCAACGGAAAAGTAAACGACTATTGCAGGCTATAGGTCGTGCAAACGTGACTAAAGACGGGATTGTTGATCGAAACAAGATTTGATCATAGTTATACATGCACTACGAGATTTGTGTATGTGTGTATAGTTCATTTTATTTTAGATAAGGAGAAAGTCATTGTACCTTGTTTGGTATTTATGTTTGTCATTTGTTACATGAATTAATAAGTATACGTAGTATTTACAAGAAATTGAGATTGCATCTTGTGTTGGCGTGTGTGCCGGTATATCAATTCTTTCAGTTAAAATCAATGGACTATAACGTCGAACTTTTTTATTGTAAGTTAATTGAGGGCGTTATAAAGATAAGAAAAAATATACACGTCAATATATTGACAAACCTGTGAGTTAATGTCTAAATCTTTAAGTTATCAAGTAAAATATAAAAAAGTTGCCATAAATAAAACGACCTTAAATGGTAAAATAACATACAGCTTTATTACCGCGTTTGTTATTCAATTTAATTTTAACCTTGTACGTTTTGAAACTTAACGTTCTGTCTTCCATGATATTTCGCCAATTTTCGTACCAGAAAAGTGCACAATAAGACGCATAGCTGCAAATATTAATACAGGTAACACCACGTGTCTTCTCTTCCAAAAAGTTAGCAAGCAACTGTTTATGCTGTCCTTCCAGGCTTGCATTAATATACATGTACTGTACATACAGACCAAAGAGGCCATATGGGATCGATGACATTGCCCCTATCCCGTTCCCCTGGCTATTGCAGCAGCAGGTGATTTAATCACAATTTGTAGAAATCTTATTCTAATAACTTCTCAGTGTTGCACATTTTCGAGGCCTTTTTTACGATCCAGGTTCTAAGAAGCCATTCCTATATCACCAACGTGTGTACATGCATATACTTAGGGTGGACATTTGCGTATACAGTTAAGACCAATTTTATCCCGTAACAAGTTAAACAGTTGCTTATTACAAAGGCCTGCTAACTCAATAGTCCAGGTAAATGATTCAACCCGCCAGACACAAAAGGTCAAGCACAGCCTTTGCAAATCTTCTGCTGTAAACTTCCCGATCACAGATAACGATCGGCAGTCATGTTAAGGCCGATTTTATCTCCTAACCAGGTGTGCAGCGGCTAATTACAAAGGCCTGTAAAAGAAATCGACCAGGTAAATAACTCATCCTTACTGACACAAGTGGTCAGTCACTGTGAAGTATGATATCTTCGGACAAAGTCTGCCAACTTTTACATAGAAGTTAATGCGATCCGCCATGTTGCCCGATTTGTTTTACCCCAGATGCCGGTTGCTAAGGCGCGTGACGTCAGCCCGACTGTCCCTATAGACACCAGAGATACAGGCAATGAATAATTCTAATTAAATAACTGCTAACATGTACATATTAAGGAAACAAATTTTAATAAAGTATCTTAATTATCTCGGTGCAATATCTGCTGATCCCCATGTATCACGGTTTTAGCAAGATAAACTAGATACTTAATTTCCTACAGCAAGATGGATGTACTGCCATTGGCAAAAATCCCATATATCAGTATCCCACCTATCTGGCACAAAGCTGGATGTTGGCAGTACCCCACACAACATGGTTAAGAATTTAGATTCATGCTGATACAAAGAATGAACCCGTCGATGAGACGAGGGGAAACTGATATGATTTATGTGTATTTTTAATTTCTATCGTGAGCCAATGTCAATGGTCCTATGACCAAATCACCACAACGCAAAGAGCTGTCAGTTGAACTGGAACGCAATCCTGGCTGTACAGTTTTTGTCTTGTTCAACTTTCATTGTTATGGAATTTTTGCATTCCTTTTTCAATTTGTCACTTCCGACACAAGCATTTAGCATTATAATGACTAGTTTGTATTTCAGGTTATTCCCCTTATTCTTACATATCTAAATTACATGGACACAAGTTACTCACTGCAGCAAATAATTCATGTCAGCTGCAGCGCCCACTTACCGAGATCTGCTTGCATTCACTTCCAACTCTACGTCAACTCAAAATCTCGTCAACTACAGCTGTGGCCGCGGTCTATTGATTTTGACTGTGACACCGTTATCATTGCAGCAGGTGCGCTTCTCGGAACACCCGGATGTGTTTAATTAGAGGTACTTTAGTTTTCTCTGTAAAATGAATGCAATTATCATAGCAACTAACGTGAAATCACGAATCTCGTAATCTCCAGTATTATTCTATATAATTACTTTGCAACAGAGATCATTTCAGGGCATTATGTAGGGTGTCCCCACACGAACCAATAGGATTTGCGTCGCATTCGTTTCTGCGTGATTACAAACAACATCATTTAGCCATGGACGAGAGGGAACCAAGTTGTAATCCTGTGGAGCCGCTTCTTCAACAGGTATGAGGCGTCGACTAATTAAGATTTTGATTAAAGAATTTAAAACATTCTTCAATTGTCCTTCGTTAAAAAAAATATGGTTTATATTAGATCAGCCAGATTGATCTATTTGCCGGGTAAGGTGAATCGACATGGGGGTAGATTGAGCAATGTCAATGTTTACACTGTACTGGTGTGGCTTATTTAGTCCCAGGACATGGGTGTTGCCTGTTATCAAGATAGCGCTGTACCCCTAGTAACTCACTTCAGTTAAGACCTTTGAACGACATCAATGGCTTGTGAATAAATCGGCCTCAAACTGGGTGTGTGTAATTTATTAAATTCATTCCTGATCAATCCACTCCCAAAATTCCAAAATGCTTCAGTTTTTGCCTCTGGTCTCTAATTAACTGTAGTGCTAAAATATGAACATCACAATCACTGTACAGTGTATGGTGCAGCTTGGATTGTATCCTCCCCTAGGAAATGAATCAGTTTGAAAAAGAACAATGTCATAACAAAAACATGTTTAAGAAGAAAAGTCAAAAGAATTTGTTCAGTTGCATTACCAGGCTTTTTATTATTAAGACTTCTTGTGCATCACATGTTATCTAAGCCCCTGCAGTGGCACCAAATGGCAGGATTCATAGTCCTGTGGATCAATGCAGAGCCTAATGGAGTATCGGGACTGGCAGATTGATTATAATGTACTGCAGTTTTCTTGTAGACTTATCTCAGATGTATAGAAATGAATATGGTGACTATTCCGCCTACACACACAATGATTAAATATCCCTCCTGTTTTGATTGTATTGATATTTAATATAAATTAACTTACCAGAAAGGAGTTGACTTTGATATCTTGGAAAATGTTGATTCAAATATGGGGATCTTTATTGGTTATTGCTGGTGTACATTGATTAGCTGTTTCATGTTCTGTTCATGTCCATAACAATGTACCCCTTGTATATTTTCAGGTAGATGATGAAGATGAATTCAAGCCATATCCTACCCAACCAGACATGGGGGCGGCGGCACCCAGTATGCCCAGTGTACCCCCTAAAGCAGAACCCACCATGGATGAGATGATGAAATATGACATCGTCAAGGCAACCCAGTATGGTGTGATAGAGAGATGCAAGGAGCTGGTGGAGGCGGGGTTTGATGTCAATCAAATGGACAGGGAGAACGTGTCTCTCCTGCACTGGGCAGCAATCAACAATAGACAGGAACTCGCCAAGTACGTAGGTCATAGTAGATGGGTGTTTATAATATGGTAGATTTAATTTGCGAGAGAGCACTACAAAATTTATTCATGGTTCTGACTAGATTGAAGTCTGGGCCCACCTCATAATAGTGACTATCTTGGATGTATACTTCAGTTTGCTTATCAGTTAACACCTTTAAGGATTTAGTATGAACATTTATGCAGAGGAATTACATTTCAAGATATTATTCATGTGACCTTTTCAGATATTATATCTCCAAAGGGTGCATCATTGATAAATTTGGTGGTGATCTGAACTCTACTCCCCTACACTGGGCCACAAGGTGAGATGGGAATGAAGATATAGTAGTGAGATTAAAAAATCAAAATTATAGCCTGTAATATTTTTTGGTGAAGTGGGATAAAACTATATATTCGCTAAGATTGTAGTTAGACTGCTTTATTATTTATAAATTATATTCACATAATATCTGGAGAGCAATTATCAAAATTTGAATATATTTTAACTTTACCAACAATTTATGAGAGTTATGGGGAAGGTAAGTTTTATATTTACCATGTTTTTACTGTCATATAATAAAGTTTCATTTAAAAAAATGAAAAAAATTAATCTCTCTCTTTTAGACAGGGTCATCTTCCCATGATGGTGCAATTGATGTCATATGGTGCAGACCCATCTCTTAGGGATGGAGAAGGTGTGTACAGAAGTGGAACTTTAAAAACAGTTGATAAAAGTTATAAGAAATAAAAACAACTTTTAGTGTTTGGAAAAGGACTGCAATTGCAATGCAGTGATTAGGGCTTTTAAGCCTATAGGGCTTTCATTATTTTTTTGTCTCACTAGTGTTTTTTATGCTTTGCCATCTTGTGCATGAATATGCTAGATGGAATGAATTTTTACATGATTGTAAATGATTTATTTCAGGCTGTAGCTGTATACATTTAGCTGCCCAGTTTGGTCACAGCAGTCTAGTTGCCTACTTGCTAGCCAAGGGTCAGGATGTGGACATGTTAGATAAGAATGGAATGACAGCTTTAATGTGGGCAGCCTACAGAGTTATTGGGTATGTGAAAGAAAATAGCTATAGTGGAATGAACTTTATTTTTTGAATGAAATATTTGCCTTATGAGCCAAGATGGACATGAGGCTATAATAGTGCAGTATAATGGTTTAAACACTAAAGTGTTTGATATTATACAACTTATACAACTGCTAAACAAAATGTGTTAAAATTTTTCTGGTCTTCTTAAAAAGTAGTTATAAAAGTATTGTTTGGAAGTTAAATTTTTATATTTTTCATTGTATAAGAATATTTAACCACATTGTGAAAAAATGAGTATTTGATGAAGTAAATATGAAAAAACAAACGATGCAAATTAATATCCTTCATTTCAGGCCTGATCCCACGAGGCTCCTGCTCAAGTTTGATGCATCTGTGAATAAAACAGACAAGTTTCACCACAACACTGCCCTCCACTGGGCAGTTATGATAGGCAACAATGTGGCAGTGAACCACCTTGTAGAGGCTGGGATTAATCTAGATGCAGTCAATGCCAAGGTTTGAAATAAGATCATTTTCTTATTATAAAGTTGTCTGTCATAAACTACCAAAGCTTGACTTCTAAAAATTATACCTGTTGATATGTGTCAAGGGTTAAGAAAAGACATAGCTCAAACATGTGAAAGTGTGTGATAAATATTACAAGATGTTTTGTTTTAAGATACTTCATGGTTAGAAATTAATGGTAAATACTCCTTTTTTTAGGGAGAAACAGCTTTAGACATTGCAATTGCCAAAAAGAACCACTGGCTGGTGAAGAATCTTCGTAAGGCAAGAATAGAAAGAGGATATGATAAATCAAATTGTATACAGACATATGTTCATGACAAGGTGAGATTTAAGTAGATGTTGTCAGGAGATATGACTGAAAAAAACAAAAGCTGTAAAATACAGAGTCTAATCCTTTTTAAACTTCATTATATTTCACACTTTATTAATTTCACCAATCCTTCAGTCAATTTTATTGCTTTAATTACAAATCATTTCATCAGCAGTTGTTGCCAGCAGCTATTTTATTATCTAGGTTTTGTGCAGGGATCTGAAGTTCAAGGCATGAAGATGATGCTCTATTTTTTTTAATCTGTGAATTTCAGGCTACAAGAAGACGTGTGATCTGGACATTCCCCTTCATCATGCTCTTCCTTGGAGGTGCCATATTTGAACTGAACTGTTCCTGGTGGTTGAAACTGGGTTTCTGTGTACTTACATTTCTGTTTTATAAAGGCGTAACTAGGTATGTATATAACTTGTTGAACACGACCTACTTTCATTTTCTTTCTTTTTTTTTTTCAAAGAAAATTTTAACATGATGTTTGAAAGTAAATGAGATGATATGAAAATTAATCTGAATATGGAATTTGTGATGGCTGTTAACATCTGAGCCTTGACTGGAGAAAAACAAACGACAAAAAATTCACAGAATAGTTGTATTTATTTGAAGAATGATACATGCATTACTACTTGATCAAGACTATGTCACTGACTCTTACAGCAAAGTTTTGCCTGAACAACCATCTTTCCGTATTTCAGCCTGTTCTTTGATGACCGTGCATGGACAATAGAAGCGCCTGTTGCTGTCTACTTAGCAACCAAGCTGTGGATGCATGTCACGTGGTTTGTCTACTTCTGGCCATATATCCTTTGTGTTAAGATATTTACTATGTACAGTGGTTACTGTACTATTCTCAACTGCTTTCTAACTTGGAAAGTATGCATTTTAAATGAGAGGGAGAATTTTTATCCATCCTTTCTTGGGAGGTCATCTTTGTTTCAAGATATTTCATAATGTTGCTGTGCTTAAGTGAGAAAATTTTGATTTTCTCCTTTTTTCCTTTAATTTCCCATTTCCCCTTTGTCTGAAGGTGTATTTTAACATGATGCCCTGGATATAGAATTATTGACCATATTTACAGGTGTAAAAGTACTTGTAGATCATACATTAGATGTACAGCATGTATATATAAATACAAAATTAAGATAACAGGAAACAATAAATTTGAACAATGATTTACTAAAAAATGTGCTAGCAATCTTATATACTGTAGCATCACAAAAGTTAATGAGTAAATGAAAATGCATCAATTTTCTTAACCTTTTGCACATGTAAACAGGTTCACAATACAAGTTATGTTCAGCTGTAATACACTGGCTCTGACATACTATTTCTGGAAAGCAGTAAGGACAGACCCAGGCATTATTAAGTCAACTAGGGAGGAAAGGATCAGGGTAATGATAAAAAATCTGTGTTGTCATAAATTTTTTTAAATTATATTTTGAATACCAAGGCGTCTTATTCTATTTGAAAGGATTACAAATAATTTGGAAGCTAAAGTCTGATTTGCATCATTTTCTATCATAATTCCTTTGACTGCATTTAAACATATGTATCTATGATAAATATTTATTTTTGCATAAGATCTATAGCTACATTGTGGTTTTTAAAATGATTTATAATATTTATGAATATTAATGATATTTATTTACTAATAAATATGTATTAAATACCTGTTACTCTTCAGGTAATATTAGAATATTCTGAGCTGCAGGCCTTTGATCTGAATCAGTTCTGTGCCACATGTATACAGAGGCGGCCAATTAGATCAAAACACTGCTCTATATGTGATAAATGTGTCAGCAAGTTTGACCACCACTGCCCTTGGATATACAACTGTGTTGGTATGTATACTGTGATTGTATATTGTGATATGATTAATATCATTTACTCATTTTTCTGTCAAGTACTTACTACCAAATGATGTTTTTAGTGCATGCTTTACATGTTTTACTTGATCTAAAGGAAGTGAAAGCAGTAAAGGTGATTTTGTTTTAAAAGTTGCTTATTTAATTGGTGAAAATTGAGTCATTTATAGCAAGAAATATCAGTTGGTGTGATCTGTGTTTAGCCCTGAATTGGTACTGCTGATTTTTGTTAACTTCATGTACACTGTCAATTATGAGTGTCTTATATCTGTCCTAACTTGACCCATGCTGAACATGCTCCTTGATGATGAATTTAAAATCATAACAATTATTGGAAGAAATAGGCACAGCTTTGCAGTCGTATTTAATTATCTACATTTGCCTCAAGGTTTAAATTATTTTGTTAATTTGTTTATTTTGAATTTATTCCAGGTGAAAGAAACCACAAATATTTTATTTCTTATCTCTTCTTTCTCGTGGGAATGATCTCCTGGTGTTTGTTTGGCTGTGGACTCTGTAAGTATCATTTATACTACATTTTTAACTACCATTCACCATGCTTTTGATTAAGGAAACCCATATTTTCAATTGTAACTTCCTGTAACCTGTAACACTTATGAACACTCCGAATCATTTGTCAACCAACAAGAATCATACCCAAACTGCTCTCAGTAAAATTTTGATTTTATTCATTGTGAAAATTTATATACAATGCCTGTGTATTAAATTCCTAACTTGGATGTTTTTAGACTGGCATCACAATGTGAAGTACAGCTGGGAGGATGATGGGATTACTGGTATAGCCTGGAAACTGATGAAGGCGTCTCCCTGGGTGTTCTGGATAGCTATGAATGCAATGTTTCATGTACTCTGGGTTGGGATGCTGCTGATATGCCAGCTCTACCAGGTAGATCTAGAGGGAATGTACAGGAGAATATGTTTATTTGTTTCTTACAAGGGAGAAAGTAAGATATAAGAGTCTTGCAACATGCTAAATTGATATCTTAATGAGGAACCTGTTCCATTCCGAAATTTAAATCTGTGTGTACATGTAACTGTCAAAATTAAAGTGACATTTTAAAAACTCTCCAGTAATTGTAAAATTGGAGACTGGTTTTATATCAGTTATAATTATATAGAATGTTGATTTGATGGATATCAGAAAAAATGATCCCAATTTGTGGATTTTTTTTCAGGCGGTTTGGCTGGGTGAAACAACCAATGAAAGACTAAATATCAATAGGTATAAACATTTCCATACAGAAAAGAAAGGACAGTTTGTCAGCCCGTTCGAGTAAGTACAATACTACCCGTCAGGTTTTTCATTTGATTATTTCAGCTTTCTTATATATTTTGTCTCTTTAGGTTTTGTCTTTATTTAACTCTCTTTGCTTTAGATGTGTCAGTTTTCTTCCAACCCTCTTTTGTCATTCTCTGTATTTTTGATATTTCATCTTCAACTTTAGCTTAATATGCACAAATTTCACAGATCTCAGCAGCTCAGTTCTGTGCTGATGTAAGAGTAATTAGAAATTATGATCCAAGGATTTAATTCTCTTGACTGAATGTTTCTACAGTGATGAGGATGAGGATGAGGAGGATTCGTTTGTTTACAAGCCACCGCGGTAATTATTAACTGCTTCCTAACCATGTGTGTTTGTTGGACAAGAACAGAAACACAAACAAAACAGTCAGACTCAACCAAGCACTTGTTCTAAATGTCCCTTTTTTCTCAAACGAGGCAATTGACAAGTTAGATGTAATGCAAGGCTTTCCCTGAAGAGCTTTCCAGTCATCATTTGGACGGCCAGTTTCCTCAGGAAACTCTCATTTTTTGATGATGGCTAGACAGCTTACTCACTTAATGGTACTAAATTTTGGGGATGTGATGGCTTGATTTGTCAGTGCAGGTGGACGACCCAAAAAAATTCCTGGGAGGTATTTTGACATAGCCAGCTTATGTGATGTTCCCCTAATTACACATGAAATATACAGTTTAAATTGAAAAATGAAATAAAGATGGACAGGTAAACAAAATGCTACCTTGTGTCTGAGGCTGCTCTGCTCAGATTGCTTTGAGCAGATGTTGCATTGTCAGAGACAGGTTAGAGTAAGTTTATATGAAGTTTGTGCACATTTTTTTTAATGAAACTGGTTAAGTGTGTCATTTATGTGTACCCTCCTAAAATTTTGTTGTCCACTATGCAACCTGGCTTACACTGACTGAGTACAAGTTAAAATTTCCAAAACTCATGGAACCTCCCTCTTTTCCTTTGGTCAGACTCCTGTTTCAGTGCTCCACAATAATCGACAAATAGTTCTCCTCTTCATTAAGCATGATTGTAACTGTTTTGATCTCTAGTGATACAAGTCAGGCATAAATAAAAAAATTGGCTTTATTTAGATCCCTATGTGGCAGTTAATTTGTATTGTGTAATGTTGGTCATGTTGTAGTTTTAACTAATATTCTAACTGTAATGAAATTGATTCCATTCCATTCCATTCCATTCCATTCCATAATGTACAATGCACTATGCACAGTTTCAGTTAGGAAAACATTGTTGCATTGTCACATTTCCATGCATGTAAGAACTTATTTGAGGACATTCTCAACCTGACATGCATGTTGGACCATAGTACGTCTGTGCATTTGATTTTGATACATATCATTTCATTTTGGAACATGTTTTAAATATTTCTTATAAGTTTTCATGCTTTTATACAGTAATGATATGTTGGAATGTAGAAAACCATTGTGAAATAAATCAGTTTAAATTTGCTTAATTGTAATGAAAAATTGTTAATGAAATTGTAGTATGATCATTAGAAGTGACAGTGCTATATTGTTATACTATTGAAATGTACAAAAAGAAAAAGGCAAGTAATTTTAAAAAACAACGTAACCCCATCCTCCCACTCAACATTTTATTTATTTATTTTTTTTTTTGAGATGGTGCCCCTGAATTTTTTTAAAGAAAAAATAGAGAATACACATACTTGATCAATTTCATAATCTGAGACACTTGACCTTTAAAATTCTAAACAATACGTTGTAAACATGCCTTAAAAAAGACTACTCACTTACTGGATTGTCCTATCTAGACTGTGATGTTAAATCATTGGTGTGTTTAAGAGGCAACATATTTTGTACTTTTTTTGTTGCTTTGTTCATATTAAGGTGGCATCTGGATATGGATCTCTAACAAAGCAGGGTCAGTCTGCTGGGGCATAGATGTACTAATTGCTAATTTGTGAAGATGCAGTGGGTTTGTGTAAAGAAATACAAGGAATATTTCTTAACTTGAACCACAACTCAGGGATGACTAATTACACTTAGGCAATAATCTTTGGAAATATTCTAGTTCTCATTCTAAAAAAAGAATTTGTACTTGTAGGAATTTGTGAGAATTTTGGTATTGATTTGCAAATGATCAATGCCATTCTTTACTTTTCATAGTATATGAATTATGGGGCTTAGTTTGCAAGGTCATTGTTGTTTTTATAATGTGTCATGTAGATATCATGTTTGTTTTTTGCTTCTTTTATTATGTTTATTTGATACTTTCTGCTTGGCAATAATTGCTGAGTGGTATTTACACTGAATATTTCTTTAAGTGAACAAATATAGTTTGATGCACTTAGTAATGAAAATGAATGAGTTCTACTTAAATACTGTAAACATTTTGAAATGCTGCATGAAAGTTGAATTTGCAGTAAACACCATATTTTCTGTCCTTGATATGTGGATTAAGATGGTGATGTTTTGAAATACTAATTTGTATGACATGACTTGTTTTACATCGAGCTCTTCTTGCATGAATTACCTTATGCAGCAGGTGACTTATCATCTTTGTAAAGTATAAAATGTCTTAACCAAACTTAGATAATAGACCATGCCTTTCGACATCAAATATATTCAGTTTTTGCCTTTCATGTTTTATTATAAATAAATGATATGTTGGAATGTTCATTATGCAGTGTAAGAAGACTTAATCTACAGAGGATTTCTAATTTATGAAAATGAGAATTACTTAAAGCCGTTTTTTTCCCTCTTCAGTCGCGGTGTCATCAAGAACCTTATTGATGTGATGGGATGGCGCTGCATGGGTCTGTGTCGTCCTGATTCAACAGACTGGTCGAAACAGTTTGAACTTCCTAATGCCCCTCCAAAGTCCATAAGGACAGCAAAGTTTAATGTAGCAAGAGACAACTACCAGTATGTGTGAAACTGCAAGCCAGGGCACTGGGCAAGAATTATTAAGTTTTTTATTTTCGTTTTTTTTTTCCCACAAACATAACAAAGAGGAAAAAAACAAAATGCAAGATCTATTACAGTTACCAGACAGATGAACTTATTTCAACATGTGTATGTATTATTTCAAAAGTTGACATGGGTGATTTTTTTTTCCTGAGAAAAGTCATGCTCAGGAAAAAGTCCTAGGAAGTGGCTTGGGAGTATTATGTGGAAAAATCTCTATGGGACTGAAGCTATCGATAATTTAAGGATACTCGATAAATCAAACCAAAGAACTTCAGAAGTTGTGAATGTGTGTCAAGTTCCTTCATGCTTGTGATAAAGAGTATTGGTATTCAATTTGCTGTAGCTCTGGACTACAAGGTTGAGTTTTTAAGGAATAAGTGTGATACAAATCTTGTCAATTTATTTACCAAATTTTTTTTTCATGTTGGCTTAATCATAGGGGACATTTACCAATCATGTTGAAGCTATTAGCAGAGGTCACCGTTTTACTGTATTTTGAAAATTATTTTACCAAAATGAACATGCTTTTTTTATTGATGTCTGGAACCTAAGTCTGTGTGTTCAGGAAAACCATATTTGGAGTTTTACGGGGACTATATATTTCTCAAATTGGGAATTCGGTGGTTTTAACTTAAACTGTTTAGTATTGTGTGCAAGATACATCCATAATTATTTTTAGGAAAAAGTTTTGCCCATTAAATATGTTGCTATACACTATGCTTACAGTTTATCATTTTGAAATGGTTAGTTATTATTTTTAAATGATAAATTGACAATTTTTTAGATTTAAAATATCATCCGTATATCACTGAACAAAATGTTAAGAACTCTCTCTCTCTTTCACTCTCATAAGGTCAAATGCCCTGTCTGTCCATGTGTCGTGTTCCATGCTGATTGTATATTGTTGGTGTGTGCCAGTCTTCATTTAATTGCTTGTATTACAGTACTCAAGATATGTGTTTCTTTTCAGTTATGATTAACATAAAATAAATATCCTTGTTTTAATTGCTTTGTAGAGCACAGTATATGGAAAATATTTGGGCATATTCATATATCATAGATATATTGTATAACAGTTAAAAGGACATTTTATATGAAGTGCTTAAAATCTTAAATATCCCTGACTTTCATAATTGCACTTTGTTGATAATCTAGATGTTTTAAACAATTCAGTGTTAATTATGTCACAGCGATTTACATATTCAACTACTTGAAGATGATAATTATCTTGTCCACGTTTTAGTCATTATAAAGTTCATGCTCTGAATAAAACAAAATGCTCCATGGATTTGATGATTGGGTGTGGTAGATTTTTATAATAATGTAACTATAAGTATAGCAATGATTTAACTGTTAATAATAATGTCAAAGAAGTGATACTAAGTAATTGTTGATTTAAAGTTACAAGATTGGTTCATGAAATTTAAATTTAATAGTATTATATACTTATTCAAGATGAAGAATTAAATATGAGAGCTTTTTATACTTTTTTTTTTTTACTGTGTTAGACATATAATCTTCATGTTGGTTGCCTTGTGTTGTATGAAATGCCTTTATCTATTTTGTTTGAATGTAAATGTTGTAAAGTATTTGAAAATACAATAAACACTGGGATAGTGTGCTAATTTAAATAGCTTTTCATAATAAATATTGTAAGATTCCAGCCTGCCTCCTCTTTTCCCTCTTTTCTTTGCCAAATCATACACACTGCCCAGGGAATTAGTATATGAAAACTATTGACCAACTGGTCATATTTTTTTTAGTCCATGAAGAATGTACTATAAATAATTTTGCTTCATTATCATTTCCTTGTTTCTTCCTCCATTTTGTGTCTAATATTTAATAGTCTCTGATACAGAGACAATAAGTTGTGTTCAGCACAATATAAAAACAGGATGAGTATAGGACTCGTTCCCAATGAATCTATCCTTCTATGTAGATCGATCCAATTCCACAGGGACTCTTGCTGAATGCAATCAGTTAAATTAACACCTAAAGGATGTGGGATGTAAAAAGTTGATTCAAATATGTTAGATTGTTCATAAAAGATTAGACCATTCCGATATTTACACTACATAATCACCATTATAGCAGAGGTGACTTTGGTTATGCTGTGAAAAGTTTTTATCTTTATTGCTTTAGACATTTTTGAGCAAGTCAATTTTTTAGTAAAGAGCGTGATATAAAGACGAAAGAGTGTTGAAGCATACTTATCTATGGTGCAGTGTGAAGACTTATAGTTCAAGAACTAAGTAATGAAACTATGCAGAAAAAGCATCTGAAATTAATGTGTAGATATCTTAAAATAAATGATAAAGCGATTGCCATCAAGTACAAAAAAAAAAATCATTGTTTTATTTCAAGACAAAATTTTATTACTGCCAACAGAACATGCCAACAAAATGTACACTTAATCAAGATACCGAGTATCATTATTTTATAATATGCAAATTAAAAGGAAAACTTATTCTTCATATGAGATTCAGAATTTCACAATAAATAAATTGTAAACAACCCATAGAAATATAGTCTAACAAATTCCATTATACCACCAAAATGGCAGTTATCGTGCTTTTCTTGCCAAAATGATGAGTTATTGTCTTTTTAAGATACCCAAAATATAAAAATTCAGGCATGCCGTATTGCTAATATGTACACTTTGCCAAAAAAGTTCAGCAATATAAAATAATCATTTGAGCTAAGGTAAATATTTTAACCAAATATTGATGGATAATGCACCCACTAATTGTTACTTTTTTATATACACTAAAGATTTTTCCACTTCATATGATTGGATTGAAGCTGAGAATGGATGATGCTTGTACCATGTAACTTTTAACGCAGTTACAACATGGAGTTGTTTCATTCTTTTCTGTGTACAGAGAAAAGACATAGAATCTGGGAATCTCCATAGCAGTTTTACAGTTACGGTAATATGCCAAACAATTCGTATTCAATGACGTGAGCCCATTGTGCCCAACTCCTGGGGGGTTTATTATAAAGGGTTATTTAATCTATTGTGGGGGTCAGGATGGTCATAAAAAAGGGTCCTCATACCATTGCTGTTACAGTGCTGAGAATGTTCCCAGATTCAAAGAGGATAATGCTTATTGCCTAATCTTAAGCATATTCACAAGTCCAACTACATGTACCCTATACCAAGATATGCACATCTGCCTGCAATACCTAGGGACCAGGTCTTTTTGGGCAGACAGACCATGTAAAGGAATCCATCTCCTAATTATATAAACAGGCACCAGCTGGAGGTACTCCTGGAGGAGTGGAATGGAATCTCACAAGAAGTAATCCAGTGATGCATGTGTCAATATGCAAAAAGGTCATATTCCATACTAAGCCTGAGGGATTCCAACAAATCTCTGAGTAATAAATCTATCTTTAACACACTGTTCTCTCTTTAAGTTTATACATTTAGATGTTGTAAAATGTCCTATTATAAGTATATATATAATAATTATAATCTATCAACCATTTTCTCTTCTCTACTCTTCTTTCCACATTATACACTTACTATATTATAGGTAAAACACTTCACTAATTGTATTATATTGTAGTCGTGTAATCTTTTAGTGAAGAAAAACATGATACAAATTTGATCCTGGCTACTTATATTACACCTGAAAATCACAAAAACAAAAAATACAAAATACTGGGGGAGGGGAAGGGGGTAGTTAAATGCCTAGGTACAACACCTGCAAACAGGTTATTTGTTTAGCCTATGGCATTTATCTCGATGCTAACTGTACCCCCCTCCTCCCCCAGCCTACATTCCTGTAAATGATACTGACATAGCTCAGAGTTCACCGTCTTCTCATTAACATTGCCAGAAGCTCTTAAACTTGTAAGCTCTTCATACTTCTCTTCCAAATAATACTTCATGTGTAGTTCAAATTTACACAAGTCCTACATGTGACAAACTAGGTGTATTAAACAAAGTGCAGTGTTTTTGCAATGTCTTTGGTTAGTAGAGCCCGAATGTGAATGTCATGGAGAAATAAATGTCCGCTGTTGAACATTTTTATACCAAAGCTGAAATCCTTGTGACGTATATCTTCCCAAGCAGTTAGCTTTTCCCTTGCAACAAATGCATCATTTTTTCCACCATATATCTTCAGGGGGCAGGGGAGTTTGGCTGAGGGTGCATATTCGTAATTCTTGCTCATTTCATGAGTTGCTCTGAGAACAGGGACAAACTGTCGAAGGATCATAGGATTGTTGATGATTTTCCCATCCAAAAATGTTAGCTGCTGTGCCTCTTTCACAAAATTCACATTGTCCATGTTGCCGTCTAGGATTTTATTTCTGAAAGTAGGGGTTTCTTTGTATGGTATTTGTGGTGCAATCCATGCTCCCATAAAAAGGTGTGCTGGAAGAACCCCTTGCTCATTCAAAAAGTGTGCCAGTTCAAAGGACAAAAGGGCTCCAAAACTATGACCATAGAAGGCAAACTTCCCATGCTTCAAAAGTGGTCTCATTTCACGAGCTAATATACCAATGACCTCTGACATATTCTTCATAGGTTTCTCCAAGCGTCTTCCTTCCCAGCCAGGCAGCTGGGCCACATAGACCTGAGTGTGAAATTTTGAAAAATATTTTTGCCACCCATTAAATGATGTCAGTCCCCCACCTGATGGAGGGAAACAAAAAAGCTGGAACTTTGGATTTTCCAGAATTTTCTCCGTGATGAAGAAAGAAGTTTTTGCCTCTTTGGATTGGTCAGAACCCTTGACAACCTCTGTTGATGCATTATCTCCTTTGGAATGCAGTTGCTTGCAGATTGTGGAAACTAACTGTGCAACGGTAGTGCTGCTGTTTAGAAGGTCTACTGGTGGAATTGATACATTGAATTCATTATCAATGAATGCTCTTAGCTCTGTTGCCATCAAGGAGTCAAGTCCCATTTCAACTGGAGATGTGTCTTCACTGATGTCAACTATACCTAAGGTCTGCGACAGATAATTTTCAAGCTTTTCCTTAATGCTACTTTCTGTTTGATGAGATCGTGAATATTTGCCAACTGCGAGTTCTTGCAATGTTTTCTTGCTAAACAAGTCTTGCAACCTCGATAATGTTACATCACCTTCTACTGCACCTTTTGTGATAAATGAACGATGTTTACGTGCATATACTGCTTCGTCAAAATGACCGGTGACACCTAAGTGACTGTACTGAAGCTCAAGCATTGTTCCTAAAACTGCTGTTGTTTGGGATGGAGAAATGTGTCCTATGCCTTTCTCCTGCCATACTGACACTAAATTGTTGTCAGCTGCAAACCCTGCCTCTGATATTACTCCAAAACTTACAGCAGTGGCAGGCAGTCCCATACTTCTTCGCATCTCTACTAATGACACCAACACAGAGTTTGCTGTGGCGTAGTTGCTTTGTCCAGCATTTCCTATCAAAGCCACTAAAGATGACATCATCACAAAATTTGCCAGAGGTAGGACATATTTTAATGAAATTTGATGTAATAAAACAGCTCCATATGCCTTTGGTAACATTACTGCCTCCCAGTCTTTCTCAGACATGTTGGTCATCCAATTATCCAAGTAAACTGTTGCACAGTGAAAAATGTTTTCCACTGGGGGTTGAGTTTCCACTATCTCTGAAAACACAACATCTACAGCACTGGCATCGCTGACATCACATATATACAGTTTAATGTCTGCATTTTTACCAAGCTGATCAAGGACACTTTGGTTTGCAGTTGTTGGATTACTTCGAGTAAGTATGACAACATGTTTCGACCCTCTTCTGATAAGCCATCTCACAATTTTCAGACCCATACCCTTTGCACCCCCAGTGATACACTGTGTCATTTCTGGATTAGGCTTGTAGGTGTCTTCTGAAAAGGTAGATACCATTCCCATACTAGGTCTATCAAGATGAATCACCCTACCCATGCATTCCTGCAGATATTTGTTTTCAATTTTTGAAGCTGGCAAAGCATGGCCTATGGTTGGTAAATGACACAATTTGTTAGATAATGCATCAACAAACTTCAATGTCTCAGCAAGATATTGTGGTGTTTTGAGGAGTTGTTTCACCCCAGCACTAATTGGTAGAAACTGGACGTTTTCACGAATGCCATTAAAATTCCTGAGCTTTAATGGGGTCTGAGTGAAAACAACAAACACACCAAAATCACAGAGGCAATCAAGGCACTGGAAATATCCTTTCTTGTTTATCAGATACTGGCCAGTTGCAACAACAGCATTGAACTTTCCAATATTCTGCAAAGCATCTTCTTGGAGAACCTCTTCATCTTCCATAAAATTGCTGATTCTTTGTCCACATGGCAGTTTTTCATGATCTGGGCAGTCATTATTACACTGGTAGCTTAAAATGGTAACATTACACCCTAAGGTTTTGAGAATCTGTGCAGTGACCAATCCTTTTCTGGATTCTTCACAAGTACAAACCAGCACTCTATCATCTTCTCGGACAGATTTGGCAGAGTAGACCATAATTACACTTGCTATAGCATCATTCACTAGAGAGAGCAATGCAGCGTGAGAGGTCTCGAAATTTCCCAGTGGCATGACATTTTCTTGAGGGATCAAAGTTTCAGATTTGAGACATCCCTTAAAAACTGCAATAACAGTTTGCCCATCTTGTAAATTAGCTTCACTGCCTTTGCTTTGTATTACATGTCCTGTGCAAATGAAGTGTGGGTCATCATCAAAGTAGCCATCTGCAATAAAGTGCTCAATGGATATCCGGAAAGAGTTATCAGGTTGTACATCTGTGATTGTATCTCCTTCATACACATATTTTATCTGCTTTGCCTTGTTTTGGTGCAGCCTGAACTGGTGAGAAACAATGGGATGTCTTCTCGTCAAAGGTGATTGGAACTTAGTTCTTCTCACAAATAACTGTAGTGAGTGTGCTGTTTTAGGGCGAAGCGCAAATTCATTTTCCCCGAAAGGCGGAAAACAGAGTAGGTTCATGAGCTCAGTTTCAGGTGTTGAGATGTCACTCAAGCTCGAAATATCTACCATGTAAACCCTGGCACTAGGGTACTCATGGAGTGTACTCAGGCCAACTGCAAAGGTAGAGGCAGTGAAAGGTGATACTTGATCTCCTTCTGATACCTGAAAACCCTTGACAGTAATGATCCATAGCTTTGGCAATACATCTCCAAGATTTAAAATGCCAAGGATAACATCTCTTGCAAAAGATGAACTGCTCTTTATAAGCTTCCACACATCTTCTTTTGTTGTAATTGTTGGCCCAGAAATATGACTCTCATTTTGGGAAATGAGTATCAGGACAATATCATCCACATTCAGTTTTCTTTCATCTTGGAGGTCAAGTATTTTCACTACTCTGTGTAGCTTTTTCAGTGAACTCTGTAGAACAGTCAAATCTTCCTTGTTGTCACTGGTTAAGTAGAATACCGGGGATGCCTCTCCTTTCTTTTCATTCTGTTTGGGTAATGCCGCTTCAACCCAGAAGATGCTCCACACCTTCATTGGATCCTTAGAATGCTCCCCTTCTAATGACTGAAAGGACAGGTTGTCTATCCTACAGCATACAATTCCAGAATCTGCATCAATTGCCAAAACCTCATTTTGATCCTCATCAGTGGCACTCAGCATTTTGATGTATACAGCTACCCTTTTGGGTGTTTTCTTGCTATAGTAAGTAAAGCGCTTCAATGAAGATGGGAATGCTGGAGAATTAGTACGGAGCAAGTGGAGAACAGCAAAGCTCTGCATCATGCAATCAAGGAAAGCTGGATGAAAGTTGTACAGCATGAATTCTTTCCAAATTTCATCTGGCGCTTCTGTATGAATTAGGCACTTTGTGAAGCTTTTGTTAAAGGATGCCTGTTGAATTGCTCTGAAGGCTGATCCTAGTTGGATTTCACCAACAGCCAGATTGCTGTAAAATTCTTCAGAACTATAGTGTAACTCAAGAGAGTCTTGTATATGTTCCAGTTTTCCTTGAGGAAGAGTAAATGCTTCCCTCACAATATCTACCTCTTGAGTCTTGAATTCATCTTCTTCCAAAGCCACAACTTTACAGCTGACATGCTCTATGTAGTCACTCTGGTCACCACTACATATTTTGATATTTGTTGTCGGATCATTTTCTTGAAAGATCGTATGTATAGTTGCTTCTCCATTTTTGGGGAAGAGAAAGCGTTTCAATTCCACATCTTCCAGTGTTATAGTTTCTCTTTTTTGGCGCACTGCATTGACAGCTTCCAATGCTGTTTCTATGTAGGCTGTACCAGGGAGGATGACGCTGCCTTGGATTATGTGGTGACTCACCCAGGGTGTGTTTATTCTTGAAATCTTGCTTTTCCAGTGGAATTGGAAGGGGGGGTCATTGTTATGCATGCTGACATCTTCTTGCATTTCTCCCAATAATGGATGGCTATGGACAGGAAAAAGGTATTCTCTTCTCACAAAATCTGTTATTCCACTGCAAGTGATACGTTCCCAAGGGTAGAGGGGTAAATGCATCACTTTGTAAGCAGATGGAAACATGGCTTCATATTGGACAGGGTATCCTTCACAGTGGAGGGAAGTCAAGGTCTTCACAACATTTTTCAAATCTTCTAAGATTGGTGATGAAGCTGTAGGTCTTTTAAGTGTCTCTAATACCACTACTTTCACTGGCTTGTCTGCTCTTGCTCCAATGATATCTTTAATTGGACCTCTAAGAGCCGGATGAGCACCAATCTCAACAAAAATGGAATAGCCTTCATCAAGAAGAGTGTCCACAGCACTTTGGAATTTGACTTGTTGTCTAACATTTTTCCACCAATACATGCCATCATTTACATCTGCGTAATGATTGTAATTGTTGGTAACAGTGGAAATCATAGGAACTTGGACAGCATTGACCACCTCTTGTTTTGCTAGTGGTTTCATCTTTTGGAGGAATTTCTCTTTCAGTGGCTCTTGTTGGTAGCTATGAAATGCATTGTTTACTTTCAACTGAACAGCTCGAATCCCTTCTTGGTTAAACATTTCAGCTAGGGCATCGACTGAGGATGCTGAGCCTGAGAAAACTACTTGTGAAGGACTGTTGATGGCTGCCACATCAATATATACAGAATGCTTGCTTTCATTCAATTTTGCTTGAGCTGCATCTGTATTGTGTAACACAGCTAGCATTTTCCCACTGCCGCTGGTTTTCTTCAATAGCTTGCCACGGTTGTAAATAATCAGCACAGCACTGTCAAATGATAGCATACCTGATGCATAAGCTGCAGCCACTTCTCCTACACTGTGACCTACCACAGCATCTGGCCGGACACCAAATTTCCGCAAGACTTCAACAAGACCTATCTGAACGGCACAGATAGCAGGCTGGGCATATTCTGTAATAAAAGTGCTTGTAGTCTTCTGGTGTTCTTGTATTGTATTTATATATTTGTAGTAGACAAATTGAGTGGGTGATTATCACAAGTAACAAAAGTTAGAGGAGTCTACTACTAAAGAAACAAAAGCTTGAAGCCATGAGACCTCTTCTTGATATGTCTTCGCCTTCATGATATCTCTTCTGTACTATGTAAGCTAGATTTACACATATATATTAACCACAAAATAAAAACAAATTGCCAGATATTTACCTGTTTGATTTATCAAATCTTCATCCTGATTGTTCATTAGTAGCCACTGCATTGACCACTTTGCTCCACACCTTTTCAAGCAGGTATCAAAGTTCTGAATTGGGAAAATGATTGGCTTTTATAAGTAAAATACCTTTTTGATGTTGAGATATTTAACATTTGGAAATATCCTAGATTAATATTACTAAAAATCACTTATAATTATGTATAGCAAATTAGGTCCTACTTTCACAGAAGACAACAATAAAATCACCGATTCCATTTTAATTAGACACTAGTCTCCCTCCTATAACATGGAAAAAAATGCCAAGTTGGGGCTCCTATGGGCTAATAAACATTAAAATGTGTCATTGGCAATGGGCTCCACACAGATCCCAAATTCACTATTCTAAAAAAAAGCTTTAACTTGGCACCCACAGTACTATCCACCATATAATCGTATTTAAAAAGTATCACTGAGCAAACTAATATGTACAGACTTGACATTGTAAACATGGAATGTTTCAGTTTAATAGGTACTAGGTATGTCTTGGTATAAAACATACTGTTTTTAAAAACATTTATTTCATATGAGATATGTGAATAAATAAATGTGTAGTCAGGTGTGTCAGTAGTACTAAATTAATTAATTGACTGTGTTGTCTGTAACATTACATAATATGCAATAGTTTCATTGAGAAGTACTCTTTGACTGCCCTTTATATGAGTATGAGAGATCATGGTTCTGTTAAAAAAAGTCTTCATATTTCAATTATGCCTTCACAGATTATTAAAAAATTTTGCATACAATTAGTCAGTTAAAGGGAGTATTCAGAACAAGTTGATTTGCAGACTAACAGATACATGGATCAAATATGACCAACCCACTTAAAAGCTTGGTGTATATACATGTACCCTAACAGACACTGGATAGAATCCCCGCAGGGCTAGGTCATAATGTTTCAGGTGGGTCAGCTAGAATGTACAAAGATCTACTAACACTATTGATTGTTGTTGTATGACTAAAAATCAGCCATGTATTTTGTCTGTTTAGTAAGGGTAATTAAGTTACTTAAGTGATGTCACAATGACACTATAGAGATAGTTAGAAGTTTCTAGAACATGATTTGAATCCTTTTTTTTTTCATTTATCCGTCAGAAAAATAGGAAAAAATTGAAGAAAAATGATTTGGAAAAAATATTCAACAGTAAGTGCCAAGTTTTTATGCTAGCTATATGTCCAACAGCTATAGCATTACAGTGACAAGATTAATATTTCATAAATAATTCATATCATACCTGGATTGTTTTGGCAAATGTTGGTTCCTGGTGAACAAGCTGTCGGCCCATTCCCCACCACTGTGTTCCCATGCCATTGAAAACAAATACCAGTGGTGTTTGCGTATTTGAATCCACAGCTTCACCTGAAACAAAACCAGCAGCCACTTTCTGTGTCTTGAAAGTCTCCAAAGAATGCAAAATTTCGGACGCATCTCTCCCAAGAACACCAAGGCGATGTTGATGATGATGTGAGCGCAGGCAAGTAGTAGCTGCCACATCATAGAATCTCTCTGGTTCTTGATCCTGTATCTTGCGAAACAACTCAATGAAGTCGTCAACGCGTGATGACAATGCTGTAGTTGTTGCTGCAGATATCAACACAACCTATTCACGCGAAAACAAATTTTTTTCCAATTTAAATACAAAGCTGTCCTAAGTGCGTTTTTGTTTGTTTGTTTGTTTATTTGTTTGTTTGTTTGTTTGTTAAGGTGTTGGAGTCAAACAGATATAGCCTTTGGTGTATAAGCATGAGAGAAGATTTACGTTATCCAGGAGACTAGTTTTTAATACTGACATTGTATAGTTGGCCATGCATTTTTGCATAAGATGCCACATGGCATAAGTTATTTCACAGATTTGGTATGCCAGAATAAATGCCATACATAGAGAAGCTGGGTTAAATAGTAACCCCTGGTCTATGTGATATATAATAAAATTGAAAACATAATCTATCCACCCAATATATTATGAAATTTTTTGTCTTTACCTTAATTTGTGGTCCTGATTCATGTTCTGGCAGAAGTAGATCATTGGTGGAAGGAGGGGCTTCAAGTATTACATGGGCATTTGCACCTCCAAAACCAAATGAACTGCAACCAGCAATCAAAGGCATTTCTTCTACATAAGGCCAAATTATCAATTCCTTCGGAACCTTGATATTCAGTTCTTTGAACTTTATTTTTGGATTGCCCAACTTGAAATGTACTACTGGAGGTATCAATTCATTGTGTATCATCAGAGCAACCTTGATGACCCCAGCAATGCCTGATGACCCTTCACAATGGCCAATGTTTGACTTAACTGAGCCAATATAAAGTGGGGTTTTTGCATCTTTAATTTGACCAATAGTCTTTCCAAGAGCGTTGGCTTCAGTGGCATCACCTACTTGTGTACCAGTCCCATGGGCTTCCACGTATTGTATATCTTGTGGGTTTATCATAGCGTGACGACAAGCACGATATACAAGATTGACTTGTGCGGAATAGCTTGGGTTGGCAATGCCCGGAGTTCTGCCATCATTGCTGAGTGCACCACCGCGGATGACTGCATAAATCCGGTCTCCATCTTCAACAGCCTTGTTCAATGATTTTAAAATAATTACCCCAGCCCCTTCACTTCGACAGTACCCATCAGCAGAGGAATCAAAGCTTTTGCTCCTACCATCAGGTGCCAGCATGCCAGCTTGACAAAATCCGATAGTGATTTCTGGCATCATTATAACATTGACCCCCCCTGCCACTGCCATGTCGCAGTCACCGTTTCGGATGGCTTCTGAAGCTAGATGAACAGCATACAATGAAGAGGAACAAGCTGTGTCAATGGATAAACTAGGTCCATGGAGATCAAACTCGTATGATATACGATTGGAAACCATACAACTGTTAGTGCCAGAGTTTGAGTATTGACTGATAGCGTCAGATCTTGCAGATGTTAAGGTTGTGTATTCGCTAGCTGTCACCCCCATGTAAACACCTGAAAGCACACATTCAACATCTCATTACCAAATGCAAGTCATATAATTCCATTAGCTGTATGTATAAGCGCAATCAGAATGTAACATGCACTTTGTAAAAATAGATAGGTAAAATTTAGACAAAAGTAGAAGTAAAAATTAAATTTTAGAGGAAATAACCACCTGTACCCACCAGTCCTTAAGAAAAATCTCAGAAGAAAAGACCACAAAAGGGAAAAAAAGAATTGCCATTGTTAAAAATATCTGAGAAAGCTGGCTCTTACATATTGTGTATCGATGGGGTATTATTCTTAAAGGATGTGTTAACTCGTGTATCTTTACAATTTATGTTGAGTTTTGGCGAAAGTTATCAATATTAACGCAAAAAAAACTAGTGTTGAAAAAGGCAATCCACTTATGCAGATTTTTGAAAGGAAATTTTTTATCAAAGTTGTCCAGTTATTTTTTTTAGTAAAACAAAATATGGTTTATCAGTGAACATGTTCAACAGGTGTGGTGGATGGTAATGGCGATGGAGCAGACAGGCACAGTGATCAGAACAAATCAAGCACATACAGTGCCTGTATTAAAAATTGAAAGAATAAGAATCGATTAAAACGTTGTCTTGTTGAGGGGTCTGGTTCAATCAAGCCATTTTTTTTTCTTGTCTCGAAGATTACATACTGGAAATCTGGTTAGTTATGATTATAACACTGACAATAATTCTGATAATAAATACTGGTTAAAGGTATAATTCATGTTCTGATGGCTAAACAAACTAAAAGCCAACGTCACAACATTCAATCAAGACACTGTTGGGGTTTGAACTAATGCTGAAACACCTTTGGATCAGCAGTGATAATGTTTATGATATTCACTCATGTCCCTATTGACATTTAACCAAACTGTACAACCCACTCCACCTGTAAACATTTATTTTGGAAAGGCAAAGACAGCTTAGGGTAGCAGTACAAGTGCCCTTCGAAACGTTTACTACACCTACCGCAGTTAGTCCCTCGGATGGACCTTGCTGGAATTCCACCATCTTCAAAGGCCTCCCACACCACTTCTAAGAGGAGACGGACTTGAGGATCCATGTGATTTGCTTCATCTGAAAACAGTTTCATTGAATTTCATTGAATAGCGAGATTTATCAATCTACTTATCTGTTTAAATTATTGTACTGTAACACTAAAAATGGTGCAAAATCTAACGTTCAAGCATTTCAAGCCTTTATTACTCTTGTTAACTGTTTCAAGTACTTCTAATTCTGTGTATGTCCACTTTACAAAATATAAGTAGAACAGACATCATCAGCAAGGTCTGCTTAATGCCCCTATTTCACACAGACCACGAATCCCACGAATGGCCATGAATTGACAAACTCCACGATTCGTGGTTAAATCGTAATCAGTTCTTGAAGTTCTTAACAGATTCGTATATATTCGTAGTAAGTTCTTGCACGTCTTGACCAACAGGAATTGGTGGCAAAAACTTTGATGCCCCTATTTCACACAGACCACGAATCCCACGAATCGCCAGGAATTGAAAATTTCAGGATTCGTGGTTGAATCGTAATCAGTTCGTGAAGTTGTTAACAGATTCGTATATAATCGTAGTCAGTTCTTGCAAATCTTGATCAATCGGGAATTCGTGGCAAAATTTTTGAGCTGTTCAAAGTTTTGGCCACGAACTCCCGATTCCAAAAATTGTAGTGAATTTCTGGACAATTTTCGCGCGATTCCAACCGAATCCCACAAATATTCGTAACACTATCGCACCTGTATCGTAACTGAATCGTAGAGCGTGTCGAATTAGACCAGAAAATTGGCAAAATCTCACGATTCCAGCCGAATCCCACGAATATTCGTAACACTATCGTACGTGTATCGTAACTGAATCGTGAGCGTGTCGAATTAGACCAGAAAATTGGCAAAATCTCACGAATCCTCACGAATCCTGAAATTTGTCAATTCCTGGCGATTCGTGGGATTCGTGGTCTGTGTGAAATTGGGGCCTAACACAACATGCCTAATGGACTGTTGTACTTCTAAGACCCACTTCCCATACCTAGATCGATCTAGGTATGGGAATGGGGTCTAAGATGTATGATTTAGTGTCTGGTTTATCAACTGACTCTTGGTCTTGTAGGTATATCAGCAACAACTTACATTAATTGTTCACAAGCTCATTTAGATATAAACCATTTACATGTGGGTTTTAGGATGGTTTATTTTAAAAACACCTTGAAAACATAAGACACATTGATGAGTGATAACGGGGTCCCATGTGGTCAGATAAAACCTGCCAGTATATAATATTAAACAGCAAAATATAAACAAAATATAGAAAAATATTCTTAAAAGAAATTTTAAAATGAACTAAAAGGAACCACTTCCCTAATATTCATAATATTAAAGAAATGACATAAATCGTATAAAGCAAAAGAAACACTGAGGAAAAAAATATTCAGAAATTATTAAATAAGAAAACTTTGGAAGTGACCCAAGTCAGTCATACTTCGAAAATGTAACACATGACGATAAGTGATAACGAATTCTCACATAGCAAGATCAAAGCTGCTGCGGATTGGACCAAGGTAGCTATTTTTGTGAACCAAGTAGGAGATACATGTAAAGGTGATAACGGCTGGAAATGGAGCCTATTTACCGCTCTTTCATTGGTCGGAATAAATTAAACACTGAGAAAATTGGAAGAAGATGTCTGTTATGCTCTTGTTTAAGTCACATTTTCCAGAAAACAGGCTACAAGGGTACCCATAGTTTTAACTCTACTATTACATAACAATGGGGAATACCCGCTTTAAGGGTCTGCCGTTAGATGGCGTGGGGGTGAAAGCAGTCCTTCTAAAATCTCGCAGAATCTCGCTCACGGCTTTACACCAGAGTTTAACATGGAGCGTGTGCACGCGTTGCTGACAGTGAACCAACTCAAACTCAATTTACTTGAATGTGGTGCCATAACATCTGGATGAAAATGTGAATTGACTGGAAGGTATGTGTTTTCTTTTCATTAAGTGCTTGAAAAACACGNAAAATTTGAAAGAATAAGAATCGATTAAAACGTTGTCTTGTTGAGGGGTCTGGTTCAATCAAGCCATTTTTTTTTCTTGTCTCGAAGATTACATACTGGAAATCTGGTAAGTTATGATTATAACACTGACAATAATTCTGATAATAAATACTGGTTAAAGGTATAATTCATGTTCTGATGGCTAAACAAACTAAAAGCCAACATCACAACATTCAATCAAGACACTGTTGGGGTTTGAACTAATGCTGAAACACCTTTGGATCAGCAGTGATAATGTTTATGATATTCACTTAAGTCCATATTGACATTTTACCAAACTGTACAACCCACTCCACCTGTAAACATTTATTTTGGAAAGGCAAAGACAGCTCAGGGTAGCAGTACAAGTGCCCTTTGAAATGTTTACTACACCTACCGCAGTTAGTCCCTCGGATGGACCTTGCTGGAATTCCACCATCTTCGAAGGCCTCCCACACCACTTCTAAGAGGAGACGGACTTGAGGATCCATGTGATTTGCTTCATCTGAAAACAGTTTCATTGAATTTCAGTGAATAGTGAACTTTATCAGTCTACTAATTTGTTTAAATGATTGTACTGTAACACTAAAAATGGTGCAAAATCTAATGCTCAAGCGTTTCAACCCTTTATTACTCTTGTTAACTGTTTCAAGTACTTCTTATTCTGTGTATGTCCACTTTACAAAATATAAATACATCAGCAAGGTCTGCTTAACACAACATGCCTTATGGACTGTTGTACTTCTAAGACCCCATTCCCATACCTAGATCAATCTAGGTATGGGAATGGGGTCTAAGATGTACAGGATTTAGTAACTGGTTTATCAACTGACTCTTGGTCTTGTAGGTATATCAGCAACAACTTACATTAATTGTTCAAGAGCTCATTTAGATATAAACCATTTACATGTGGGTTTTAGGATGGTTTATTTTTTAAAAGTCCTACTTCGAAAATGTAACACATGACGATAAGTGATAACGAATTCTCACGTAGCAAGATCAAAGCTGCTGCGGATTGGACCAAGGTAGCTATTTTTGTGAACCAAGTAGGAGATACATGTGGAGGTGATGTAATGGCTGGAAATGGAGCTTATTTACCACTCTCTCATTGGTCGGAATAAATTAAACACAGAGAAAACTGGGAGAAGATGTCTGTTATGCTCTTGTTTAAGTCACATTTTCCAGAAAACAGGCCTTCAGTCTGAGGTTGCCAAAGAAAATGATGTCAGAAGTTTGAAAGAGCAAAAGATTGCAGAGAATACGATGTTAAATGAGGTTATCGGAAACAGGTAAGAGCTTTAAATAACATTACCATTGGCGTCTTTATTGACCCCACCTTCAATAATTGCCAACCTCGTTCAAGTATCCATCTCAGTATTTTAATAATTTATCGTGCCGCTCTGTTGACAAGGTGTTACTGCTCAAGCAACACAGGGTGACTCCTGCTCTCGCCACCAACACCAAACAATTATTGAACCGAGCAAATATTTTCTTCCTTTCTTCTCATATAGCAACTATAAAATCCATTCTTAAGGTAAAACAAATTAAGATTAATTTGAACTGACATGCCATAAATTACACCTCACTATTAAGTATCAAGATTCATGTTGATCTCACATAAACTTCCATGGTGAGGTGAACTTCCATGATCTCATGAAGCGATGTCTGAAGAAAAAAATTTTCAGTTGATGATTGATGATATACCCCCCACCCCCTTCCACAATTATGTACATGTACATTGCTACAAGGGTACCCATAGTTTTAATTGTTTAATTGTTCATAACAATTACGAAGCTGATCATTGTGTAAATTAGAGATGCCAGTAGAAGAACATATTGACCTACCTAGCTTAAACATTGAAATACTTCAACACCAATTATTTTTTAATATGCAGCTCCTAAGTGAGAGGGATACGTTTCTTACCAAGCGGTTGATAAAGGGGGTAGTTTTGACCATGTTCCATGAGAGCCATTCAGAGGGATACCATCATACCAAACAGGCACATGAGACATATGGGACAACGTACATCATTACCAAACAGGCACACAGGCAAAATTACCTGGGCAAGACCGACTGAAGAAAACCACACCATGAGAAGAGAGAATGACTGCGGTGGATTTAGTGGTCACTACAATATTTTTTATTTTGGAACAGATTCATTAATCATTGGCAAGTATTGGAGATAGATATTCACACCAGGAACATCTATTTTACTCCACCTTTCCTGCCAAAATGAAGAGTGTTATCCCTTTGCATTATTGTACACTATATGTGGTATGTTTCAACCTCAGTACATATTTTCTTCATACAAAATTGCAATGTAAAAATATACCTGGAGGCATCTTAAAAAACAGTCTATCGAAGGACAATAGGTCTTGCTCTAGGTAGCCCCCTCCTCTCACATACAGCTTGCCTGGAGTCTTCGGTGTAGGATGATAAAAATGGTTGACATCGAATCTGTCATCTGGTAGTGGTCTGGTACAGTCAATGCCTTTAAGAAGCACCTTGGATACAAAAAGTAAAATGAAGTTAAAAAGCTAGATTTAATTCTTGCAAAGTTATAATCGTGTAGATCATCGATTTTGCCCTTTTTGAAAGCTTGCACCAAATACACACTAGGCCAATATCCTGGTATGCATTGTCATTGTGAGTTTTAATATATATATATATATATAGCCCCAGTAGTCACGGCTCCCTGTTTTGATGGCTATTATTGAACATTTAATTTTCCCACATGTTGTAATTATCTTCAAAGGACAGTTCATGCTGTGATAAAGATATGACATTACAAACTTTACTCACTTTTTGGAACTATTGTTGCATAATCGGAACCTGGTTAATGTTTTAAAAAAGATACACTTACCTCCCAAAAGTCCTTGACGTTATTAATTTCCCCTGGGAAACGACAACCGATTCCAACAATTGCAACTTTCTTGTTTTCAGGTAGCCAAGTAGGCATTTGACATGGTTCTTTTTTGCGTCTTTGAGGCATATCTAGAGAAAAATGTGACAAATACAAAAGTAGATTTCTGCTCTGGGTACCTACACATTGCTCATTGGGTGCACGAAACAAAACTCAAAATTGCCTAATTATAATCCAATTCATGATCACATTGCAAATTCTTCTACCCTATGGTGCAGTGTCTGGTCCACAATTGTTATTAATCATTATTGGACCTTCCTGGAAAGTAGGCAATTAAAAAACATAGTACAAAAACAATCTCATTTAAAATGCAATATAATTGTCAAACCACCAAAAATTTGAATTTTTAGGAATTTTATAGGTTTTTTAAGCTCTATGTAAGTTAACACTTGGCTTCCATCTTCCCCATAGTATTCTTATTCTTTCATATATATATATTTGCAAAGAAGGTTTCAATTTATATTATGATCCATTAGTTTGTACCATAGCCCTATTCTCCATATTTTATCGAAGGCAGCCTTACCATGAAAGCAAAAAAAAAATTAAATGCGATCAAGATATCTATGTCAAAGTTTTTAGAGTAAATATGTGATCAATGGTTGAATAGTTGGCTCGGAAACCTTGGTTATCTTTTTATATGTCAAAAAGTTATTAGAGAAATCGGCTAATCTTTTACACAATATGGAGTGAATACTTTGCCCAGGCAACTAAGTACAGTAATTGGTCGTTAGTTCCTCAGATCATTCATATTTCCTTTATTCTTATAGATTGGAATAATAGTGCATTCAAGTCATGCTTCTGGCAAAATACTAGTATTGAGTGCCATACTAAACAATTTTAAATAAATTGGTAACATAAAGGTAACACAGAGCACTTTTGTTTTCCTTTGATTTTTTATTGTATTTTGGAATTCAACCACAGTAATTGGTACATGAAGCATTTCATTTTTGAATTTTTTTTTGCTGGTCTTTAATCCACCTCTGCCAAAATTGGTCTGCAAGTAACTGTGCGTGTTTCCACTGTTCATTATATTGATCATGCTTTGTGAAATTGTCAGCAGACAAGCAGGAGGGATTCAAACGCAGCAACAGTAGTTGGTTGGGTGACAAGGTTTCTAAGTCGTAGTGATGGTCTGCTTTGCGTTTCAATGGGCGATCATTTGCGATTTTCTCAATTTCAGCAAGCATGATAAGTCATGTCTCATCATCCACCAATTTATTTCCCAAGATAGAACGCATAATTTTCCGTACTGGTCTGATTGAACGCTCCCATACGCCACCTGCATGGCTTGCACATGGTTTGCAATTGAGATACCACTGAATGTTGGAGAAGTGATAAAGAAATGATGTAACAATCGCTCTACACCATCAAATACTTCCAAAGACGCAATGGCATGTACCTGAGCTGATTTACTCATAACTTCTCCATCATTTCCTGGAAGTTCGTGTAGTGGGTAGATTATCTGTTTTTTTTTTTTTTTTTCGACCAGTATAACTCGGGCTGGTACAAAAAGCTGGGCCATGTAACCAACGCTGTATGTCTTCACCACTGTCACTTCTGAGCTGTATTCCCCTTGAAAGGTAATCTGCTGGGTTATGATCAGAATTAACATGGTATCACTGCGAAGGTGTCCATGAAACATCATGTATCATTTAAAGACGATTGGCAACAAACACAAAAACGTGGAATCTGATCGCAGAATTCTGAATAAACTGGAGAACAATCATAGAATCTGTCCAGAAAATAACGCGATGAATATCATGATCAATGGGCACTTGAAGCTCCTCCAAGATTTGTTTGTGAACTTTCGCAGGCAATGTTGCAGCTGTCAGCTCCATTCATAGAACAGTCACTGTTTTCAGAGGCAATACACGTGTTTTCCCACAGACTATGTTGCAATATACTTGCTGGTTAATATCAACAAACAGCAGGTAGAAAACAACGCTGTCTGTAGCCAGATAATGAGGCAATGGTTCAAGGGACTGTATATCTGCTAAATAAGTTGATTTCTAGCATCTTGCGACTTCAATTGTAAATTGTCCAAACCTTCTCTCCACTGTGCCCATGCATTTAGATGCTGCAAAGCCCATTGGGTCATAAATTGATACAATAAATGACAAAATACTTATTCGAGTATCCTTTACATCGCTCTCATGGACAAAGTATCCAAATGTTTTCATTTTCTATGTTCCACTTTATGCCTAATACATGTCCTATTGGCTGTTTGTCTATGTTTGTTTCTGACTGATGGCGCGTGCTCTGTCGTAGGTATGCTTGATAGAACTTCTTCCTGGTTGGTAATCCACTTGGTGAGATGAAATACACCTTTATGCAGTAACGTGGTGAGCTGAATGATCATCTTCTCAGCTTCATCAATGCTCCCTTTCTGCATTTTGAGGGGGAGCGTAGACTGTACAACTTGCAGATTAGTAGTGGCAAACGTGTGCACTGCCATTTGTTATTCTTCTGGTTGTTATTCTTCTGGCATCACGATCATCAGGATGTACTTCCACTTGATGATACTTTTGTTCAATAGCAGCAACAATGGTTATCTTTTTCTGGTGATTTTTTTTTTTTTTTTTTTTTTTTTTTTTTTTTTTTTTTTTTTTTTTTTTTTCCAAAATGAGTCTGTTATGTGTTTCAAGCCTGGAAATAACTTGCTTCTGGTTCTAGTATGACATAGCCTTTTTATTTATTTATTTATTTATTTATTTATTTTTATCTTTATTTTTATTTTTATTTTTATTTTTTTGGCTTCAAGTCTGGTACTGTCTGTTCTCTATTAGTTTTAAAGTTTCCGATGAAAACTGGGTATAATACAGGATCACTGTTGAAATACAAATACTCACGTTTAGGCATTTCTTGATTGAGTGTGATCTCTTTCAATGCTCTTTGCTGCTGTTGCAATGAAATGCTGGGTGGAAATGAAATAATGTACAAACTCATGGGGTATACCCTGAGTGTCAGAGCAACGTAAAAGCTAGCTTGTTAAATATACCTTGTGATGGAGTCGCTTTTACTAGTATTGCTGATATGGGTTATATATGAAATCAAGATCGAGCTGGCAATACCGGAATCTAGAACCTAGGGTAATAGGGTACCACCCTGATTGAAAAGTTATCAAATATGCAAATGATTAACTTCTTGTGTTAGATGCATTAGCCTGCTCCTCTAACACAATAAAAGGCAAACTAAACCCTACACTCCCCAGTTAAGTGATGGCCTAGGGTAAATCACAGCGCTCAAGAATTCTCTTTTGACCCTGCAAAGAAAGAACCGCGCTTAGAATGGGTCCATCAACTTAATTGCAGTCAATTGCTTCATTTTCGGATAAATTGAGATTCCTTCTTGAAGTTTGTTGTTTTGATGGCTAACCCCGTGTTCAATGTAATGTTTGTACGACGTTTCCTGAACACTGTGTGGTGAAAACAATTGCTCACAACCACTTTTTATTGAGACGAAGTTGAGCAAATGGATTGCCTGGCCTGTTTAATCTCTTGATTTGTGTCCCATAGGGCAATGCTGGGATACTCTAAACTGGGGTGTTTGAAAAGGAGAGATACAGAAAACTATTGGACAAACTGAGAAAGGCGTTTGTTGAGGAACGGGTCGATCGTGACCAGTGATAATGCAGAAATTGTAAAATGGTGAATTTTCATTTGTATATGTAATTTAGGATTTCTCTTTCTTCTAGACAATGTTTCACACAATGTTTCACACCAAAATAAAACGGGTCGATCGTACAGTTTAAGTCAGTACTTCTAGAACTTGAGCAGGGCTTTCACGACATTCTTCATGTAAGTCTGCACTTGAGAATAATAGGGTGACACTGGGATTCAGCACAACTCCTCTTTTATTTATTTATTTATTTATTTATTTATTTATTTATTTATTTGAGAAAATGGTGATTAATGAACAATTGATCGCCAAAAGGAACTCAAACGGTAAACGTTCAACAAAAATACTGTCACTTAAAGTTAGAACATGAAATAATAATGATTATAATAAAAACACTAATGGTCTGGTTGAATGTTGCATCCGTCTTACTTATTGAAACCTTGGACATAATAAGATCTTTTTATGTCCAAGTTGAAACCATACTGAAACCTTAGGCTACTGAAATCACGGATGTAATGTTCTGTTGGAATATTCAATCATTTTATAAAGAGTGTATTTTTGTAAAAATGTAGAGTGATGTGTATTCCACGCTATTTTTAGGTTTGGACTTGTATAATCGGTCTCTGTTGAGAAACCTGTTTTAACTGTGTTAATATTTGTCCAACTTCAATAAGCAAATTTCGCTCGTTTACTCTACTAGCTATTATACTTATTCCTTCCTCAGCACGAAAATAAAGGTCCCTAAACAACAAGAGTTTGAAGAAATGCCCCGCACCTGTGAAGCAAGTTACTAGCTTTTTTGTGTTTGACACTCGACTCTCAAAGAGAATCAGTCTGCGATCACCCGATATTTGTACTGGTTTTATTTTGCGCTTGCCAAGGCTAACATTTACGTCACGACCCGATTTCATAATAGCGAATAAAAAACAAAATATGGCGGCGCCCATGCACCTAAATCTAGCGATTGTGAATGTTCCAGTTGAAGGCTTTTAACAGAAAAAAGGCTAGAAAGGGATTGTATTGAGCTGACAGATACTCAATCGTTGCTTTGGAGTAAATGAAGCAACAGGAAAACAGACTATAAGGTATTTCAGTAAATAAGGGTTAAATTTGACTTACTGTTGTGTTTCGCTGTTTTTGTAATCTTGTTATATATATATATATATATATATATATATATATATATATATATATATCAGTATTTCTGAGTGAGATGTCAGGATGAACAAAACTAGGCCTATTTACATACTACATGCAATGGAGGGGGTCCGCCATATAGATAAACGTCCCAATAAAATATTCGTCCCGATAGATACGTCTCTATACATACACGTCTCAATAGATTTACGTCTCGTTAAATTTACGTTCCGATAGATCCACCAACAGTTTCCTATAAACCCACGTATCTTTAGATCCAGGTACCGCTAGATCCATCTATCTGACATCGTAATTAATCGGCTAAAATGCCAATATAAACTTGAGATACAGGTATGAGGCTTTCGAGATGCGAGTACTGACCCACTCAGTGAGATGACTTAAATACAACCTGATATTTATTTATTTATATATTTATTAGGTGTTCAAACAAGACATAGGCCTACATGTACGTTCGCGTCTACACGTCTTTACTATCGTTTACTATCATTTACTCCATTCCGCAATGTAGGCCCTACGCACGTAATTTCATCAATGTAAACTACTTGGACATAAAAACGACACAAATTCGTTATTATGTCCAAGATGTAAGTAGCTTCTATATATATAGAGCCGATTTTTGCCTGCAAACTTTGGGTATGTTTGTCAACCATACAGTAGGCCTAATATGGTTTCTATCAAGTATACAAGACAGTTATCAGGCAGAATCATTCATGAAATGCCCAAATAAATCATACACAGTAGGCCTATAAAATAAGAAGGGTTTACTTGTAAAACTCTTAACATTATTTCATCAACTTTTGCCGAGTTCTTAATTGACGGGGATGGTGTGTGTGTGTGTGTGTGTTTTCTTGGATCAATCGCTATGAAAAAATATATAAACTTAGGTTCCTGTCAGAAGCCTTCGTAATCAAAACTAAATGAATGTAACATGAAAATAACAAAACATCTAGTGAAATCATAAATTTCCGTCAGATAATGCATTAGTAGGCCTAATGTAAATTACCCGAGTATTGCGTAAAAACGATCTATAGTAGAATAATAAATTGCTGAAAGGATTAATATGTGTACTCTCGTTTTAAACAGTGCATTTTATGTACTGAGTAGTATACCAACCATTTTGAGCAATAGTGTACCTGTAATGGATCTATCGGTATTTGGATCTAAAAATACATGGATCTATAGGTATGTGGATGTAAAGGACGTGGGTTTATGAGGACGTCGTATCTATAGGAACGCAAATTTATAGGACGGTGGTAAAAAATCGGATCTATCGGTATTTAAATCTAAAAAGACGTTTTTTCAGTTTTCCCTTTATGTATCTATCGGGAACGGGAGTATAGAGACGTGTAATATTTTGGGACTAAATTTTATCCGTACGTACCCCAATGGCGATAGAATAAACAATTTATTGACCTGTTTTAGCTTTCACATGTCCATCATCCAGTAAGAAATAAAAAATAGGCCTATATATAGTTTCAATGAGTGCAAACTTCTAGGGTAATCACTCAATAGGTACAACCATTGAAATGAGCAATTAATAGCTTTACTGGCATGAAAATGGACACCAATCGTAATTGTTTTCTTCAGTTTGCTATGGTTTTAATCAAGATAGACTTGATGCCTTTTTAGCGTTTTAGACCCTATCAGTAATAGAACAATGAAACATATTCAAAGCCTTTAATACCCCTGCTAACACAAAAACGTTGCTTAGATGTATGTTTAACCAAAGTTTTTTCATAGCTTTTAATGTGTTATCTTTTTAACATTTTCAAAAACGTAACTGGGTAAATATAACCGACAGATGTCAACATGTTTAGACCAGTATGACAGTAAGTGATAAAACTTACCTTGAGTTTAACTGATTCAGATTCGGCTACGATTAACCCAGCCCGTCCGTTTGAGATGAAGCTAGAAAACAGGTTTTCATAAAAAAGTGACAAGCTGAAAATAGAAAACAGTGTTTTTAGAAACGAATTGAATAGCCGACTAGGAAGTAACGGCATAAAAATATCTGAGGCTCAGCCAATCACGAAAAAGTTATTGCCAAACTGGAATATCACGTGATCTTTGAATGCAGAAAACAATACCCCTTCCTGACATAACTTGCATTCTGATACCGATCAATTAATAATAACGAGCAACGGGTGTGTGTTTTCATGGCGCTGTATAACAAGAAGACCAGATAAAAGTCTGTCTCCTACCTTATTCACAGCGCTATCGACGGTAAAATTGGTCTTTCTACAGTGTGCGATGTGAAGATCTGACAGGTAAGGAAAGGACATGTGAGACCCCTCAACAGAGCCAAACCGCTTAGCTAATTGCAATTTCAATTTACCGTCGCTCATTGTCTTTATAGAGGAAGTATATTGAAATTTGACTACCTTAAAGGTTTCCAATTTCTGCAGAATATAAAAAAAATAAAATTCTTATGGCACAATTGGGTGAATGAAAGTTGGTCGTTTTTATGGACCATTCTGCAAATGTGATTTTAACTATTCTTGAAATTCCGAGGAATATTCCCTCAAGACAGGTATACAAAAACTTTCACCCCTGCTTTTCATAGCCAAATCGTGGTCAGCTGACGAATGCTTAACAATTCTCAGTGAATACATAAGAATGGTTAACAATGTACTAGGAATCATCTAAGAATGTACCCAGGACCTGTTAATTAGCCAAGATTTTTTGCATTTTGAACAGCTCAAAACTTTTGTCCTGATTTCACGATCTCTCAAGAATAAAACATACAACTGTGCCCTGCCACCATATCGTCAAGCTAATCATGGATGCAACTCAACTGAAGATTTTTGTAATGGCTAAAAAATTACGAAAACATTAAACAGCAAAACATGATGACTTGCGCCATAAGACGTTACGAAGTTGTTTTTTCTTTTCAATTGTTTAAAACCCGGCGACTCATCGAAAGTACAGTAGACGCAAGCTATCGACGTTTTCACGTAGCTGTCGACGTGAATAGGTACATATAAAATACAATACAATATAGTACAATGCTAAGTGGATAGCGTATTAAATAATTATACTTTACCCTTTCTCAGCACGAAAAAAGGTCCCTATCAACAAGATGAAGTAATGGTCCCACACCTGTGAAACAAGTTACTAGTTTTTTGTGTTTGAAACTTAAATCTCCCAAACTCAACTCAGCCCGAAGTAAAGGTATCTATATCAACCCAGTTTGAAGAAATGGTCCCACACCTGTGAGACAAGTCACTAGCTTTTTTTTTGTTTGTTTGTTTGCAACTCGACTCTCTCAAAGAAAATCAGTCTGCTCTCACCTGATATTTATGCTATTTTGCGCTCCCCAGGGCTTACATTTACGTCACGACCTGATTTCCCAACAGCGACCTAGAATTAATCAATAAAAGAATACGGCGGCGCCCATGCACTTAGCGATTGTGAATTTTCCAGTTGAAGGCTTTTTTATATAAAAAGCAGTAGGAGGAGATTTTGTTAAGAGTGCTGATAGGTATTCATTCATGGCTTTTGAGTATATAAAGCTACATGAATATAGACTGTTAGTTATTTAAGTAACACGACCTGATTTCCCAACAGCGACTGATACGTGATAACCTTGACAAGAGCAATCCTTTTTGCACTCTGTCCGCGAGGGAACCTTGGAAGCCAATATTGAGTTGAGTTTGTCTTATTGTATGTTCAATTGTCTTAGTGATTTTGTCTTAACTGCACGTTTGTTGGTGTTTTTGTCTTTCCTTTTGTTTGCGCCTTAAAACCCGTATCCTCAAAAGTCACTCTCCCTTGGGCCTTAGGACTAGGCGTTCCCACCCTTCAAAGATACCGGAAAAATTGATTTGCGATATTAAAAAATGGCGAATATCATAAACCTGTTTTGTGTATGACATACAATTTTGCAAATGCGCACATTTGCCTAATAGAATCTGCAAGTAAAACACACACAGCGGGTAGATGTTATGGGATGTATTTGAATACAAATAATTTTAACGAAGGTTTTCGTTCTTCCAGTTGTTCCAGAAATGAGGTGCCTTTGGAACTGTATCGAAAGACCATTGAGCAGGGCTTTTGGTCGGTATGGGAGGTTTGTAGCAAGGTACCCATATCCTTTCCTGCTGATTCCTATTTTAGTGGCTGCTACACTGGGTTCAGGAATGTATCGACTCGATTCCTTAAAAATGTCAGATGTGGAATATCTTTTTACGCCAGAACACGGAAGAGCGAAAGAGGAGCAACGTACAACTAAGAGGTTATTTTCGACCAATGATTCCGGAGCATTTGATGCCACAAGAATGACCACGCTGGGAAAATATGGACGGTTAATCATCGTGCCATCCTTAGATGGAGAGAACATTCTGCAATTCAGTTATCTCACAGAAATAATTGATTTGCACAACCGTGTGCTAGAAATGTCGGTGAATGATGATAAGGGGGGAGCATACACGTATGCCGACGTCTGTGCCACGTGGCAGGACTCTTGCGCAATAGCTAACCCTCTTTTTTTCTTACTAGGAAATAATGCTTCAAAAATAGCTGATTTGAACCTTACACATCCGACTACAGAAGTGATAACACACACGATGGGAGCAAATGGTCTACCGACGCAAATATTAACCTCCATTTTTCCTTGGAGGTTCTATCGGTGGCGTCATCGTTGACGAATCAAATCTGATAATCTCCGCAAATGCTATTAATTTAGTATATTATTTAGATTCACAAAATGAACTATTGGCAGAAATGTGGGAATCGTCGTTCTTGGATACAATGAAAAACATGGATTTCAAAGACATAATAGTGGCATATTACTCCTCCCAGACCTTGGAGAAAGAACTTGGGGCAAACGCCAAGTCAATCATACCTTTATTCAGTGTAACATTTACAGTGATGATAACTTTCTCCGTCATTACTTGTATCATGAAGGACTGGGTACGAAGTAAGCCATGGTTGGGTCAAATAGGCGTTGTTTCCGCAGGTTTAGCCATAGTGTCTTCATTTGGACTTATGCTTCATGCAGGGGTGCCCTTTATTGATATAGTAGCTTCAACGCCCTTCCTTATTCTAGGTGAGTTCTATCTTTAAGCTGTTTGAAGTAATGCCCAAGCAACTTAAGTGAATAAACTTAAATCTAAAGATAACAGATTTGTTAAAGTAACTGTACTTCAATGTCATCATCGAGGCTTATCGTTCTTCATGTTCAGATTGGCATTTGGGAAGTATTTTGCTATGAGTTTTGAATAAGGAAACTAGAGAATAACTCGCTTAAAGGCATAAAATGCACGTTAGACTTCAATAGAAAAAAAGGGAATTTTCCTGGAGATTACAGCAAACCTACTCGGTATAACTTTTCCAAAAATGATGAGAAAATTACAATATATAAACCCATTTTCGAGTTTACATATCTTATACGTAACAATCAAGAGTACTGCTATTACAAGAGTGACTCAGAAACTTAAAAAAACTAGACAGTTATTGCATGATAGGGCCATGATATATCTTGGTGATTGAGATGAACTTTTTGAAATCTACAGGAAAAATTATTTTTGCTCTGTGGGTCAAACTTATTGAGTACTGTCAATATCTCTTTCCGTAGAATCCAGATTTGGGGATTTCCGTTCATTGAAAACTCACATCATGATGATCATAGTATTTTTTAAAATAAAGAACGCTTCTGTTTTTCTATTAGTTTGTTTGCATTTAAATTGTCATTTCCTAAATAAAAAAATTAGATACATATATCTGTCGTCATTTAAAGATATTAAAATACACATTGTCTCATTTTTCGTCATGTCAAAGAGAATGAGTGGTAGGAAAAATATTTTATTTACAAACAAGCTTTGGTTGGATTATAAAACAGTTTCTGGTAAAAACTCAGTTAAATGCTGCATACATAATACAGACAAGGCCTAATTATGCTTTGGTTAAATTAGTTTATTTTCTTAGAACATATGAAACATTTCCTCAAATGTTGAATGAAAAGGTTTTTGATCATATGTACATTTTATCGTTTGCAGCAATCGGAGTTGACGATATGTTTATTATGATAGCCGCATGGCGGCAGACCAATCCACGCGACACCGTTGAAAAACGCATGGAGGAGACATTATCTGAAGCAGCCGTTTCCATTACCATCACTACGCTTACGGATGGTTTGTCTTTTGGTATTGGCGCCATTACTGATTTTCCTTCTGTCAGAATATTTTGTCTATACACAGGTAGGATCAACTGGCGATTACAGTTTTATCTAAAGTTGAAGAGTGCCATAAGCCTTTTTTACTTTTCGATCTTTCGCTCTTTCTGCGTGAAATGAACAGTTCTTGTGATTATACGTATACGATTTCAATGTTTGAATTATTGCAATATGAATTCATTTTTGATAGAATTTATGGCTGCCGTGTGCAGAACTCTTTCGAAATACTCACTTCATAAATTTTATGGAATATTTTGATAAATACAGGCATTGCAGGAATTTTCTTCATTTTACTGGAACGGTGGTCACGAAACCATTATTATACACTTCATTACTGTAATTTTTTCATTCGTATATCCGTAAGTTTATTTATTTATTTATTCATTTAGGTGTTGCTGTGCTCTTTGACTTCTTTTTCCAAATAACCTTTTTCGCTGCCAGCATGGTTTTTATTGGAAGGCGCGAGGCGGCAAATAGGCATTGCATGGTGTGTACAAAGGTTATACCCACGGATGAAGCAGGTATAGGTTGCTACATTGCTATGCTATTGCTATAGGTTGCTACATTTTTCCATTGAAAAATGCTAGGTACTCTGTGCACATTTTATTTTTATTTTGTACCTATGAGACTCCGCAAAGGTCGACCTAATCGAAAAACATATTTTTGAAAGTTAGCCTTTTACAAATCAAACATTTGAAGATATTTATTTATATAAATTTAAAAGCCTTTATTTTATTATTAACTATTTAATTTTTATTATATTTATTTTTATTTGTCTAGCACAAATACGTATAGGCCCTGTATTCATTAGAAGCGGATATATTTTTTATATAAAAGGACATGCAGTGCAATAAACACCTTCAATAAGAAAAGCCAAATTATGTGTACAAATACATGTAAATGCTTCATATTGACATTTCAGAAAATCGTTCCAAAATATTCAGAATATTTTGCACCGGTGGAACGCCGTCAAAGAAGAAAGAATGTGAAGATTTGAATCAGCATGTCATGATGGAATTCTTTCGAGATTATTATGGCCCTTTTCTAAATAAAATTCCGACCAAAGTTTCTGTGATTTTAGTATACGGTTCCTACTTAGGCATAGCTATTTGGGGAATCACAGGAATGAAAGAAGGCCTCAAACTAAAAAACCTGGCCGATGATGCTTCTTATGCCAGTTCTTTCTACAACCTAGAGGATAAATACTTCAAAGAGTTTGGTCCAAAAATATCGGTTATCTTAGAAGGGAAGTTGGATTATTGGGATGGTACCGTACAAACAGAACTGTTTCATTTAATAAAATCTTTTGAGGATGAAAGGAATATATTTGACAATTACACGACGGAATTTTGGCTGAGAGACTTTTTAAGTTTTGTAGAGCAGTACAACTTGACAGTTAATGAAACCAATTTTGTTAATGTGCTAAAACGCGAGTTTTTGCCTAGGAATGAAAAGTTTTCATTAGATATACACATGGATAATAGCACAGATAATATAGTGGCCTCCCGATTTCTGGTACAATCAGTTCGAACCACCACGGCGTCTAAAGAAAAGGAACTTGTTCTACTTGCCAGGCACCTGGCTGATAATGCTCATGTTGATTTGAGTGTCACTGTTTTCCATCCTGCCTTCGTTTTCTACGATCAATACGTAGCAATTATGCCCAATACTCTACAAAATATTGGCATTGCTCTTGGTTCAATGGTAGTTATTTCACTACTTTTGATCCCCAATCCTATCTGTTCACTATGGGTTGCTTTGTCGGTGGCATCAATAGAGGCAGGTGTTGTGGGTTATATGGTGTGGTGGGATGTTAATCTGGATTCGGTCTCTATGATCAATCTGATAATGTGTATTGGGTTTTCTGTTGATTTTTCAGCACATATTGCGTATGCATATATTAGCGCCAACGGTTGCACCGAGAAAAAACTTTCTTCCTCCCTGTTTTCCCTTGGTTTTCCTATTCTTCAGGGGGCTCTGTCCACGATACTAGGTGTGCTAGCTTTATGTGCGTCGTCCGTGTATATTTTCAGAACGTTTTTCAAAATAATGTTCATGGTGATTTTGTTCGGTGCTTTCCATGGTCTTGTTTTGCTTCCAGTGCTTTTGTCGATAGTAATGCCTGGCACCAAAAGGGCGCCCAATATTTCACAGTCAAATTCAAAACAAAAAAAGGAGTTTCAAAGAAGCAAAGGTGATTTCTCACCCACATTAAGAAAGTGGATGAACGAGGTCAGCCGGCCTAGTTTATATGGAGTTACAAATGGCCATAGTTGTGAGACAAGAAACAAGTCTGAACCTATCTTAGGCATGAATGGTGCGATGCCATATACTATAACCTTAAATGTACGATCTGAACAGTTTTAATGGCTGAATGGTGAAGATTTGCAAAATTATGAAGGCCATGCCTAATGGTATATTTTCCATTTGAAAGGTTGGCTAAAAATGAGAAATTATTAGTTGCATGTTTGACAATTTTGTGCCGTGCTGCAAAGTAAGCTTGTAGTAAAATTTTGTTGGTAAAATATTATATTTCATATATTCAGATCGTGTGACAATGTTATGCTAATAACTATTGCTTAGTTTATTTTGTTTGATTTTTGGTGAGTTTGCAAGACAATAAGATACATGTAGCTCAGGATTTCAGAATTCTCACGGGAGCACGACACCCTTCTTGTGTATGACAGGAACACTATAGAGAGGATTGTCTGTAGTTTGGGATTCAGAAAACGGTGAAATTATGCTTTCAATCTTTCTACGAACTAAAGTTTAGAATTTAACTGTATAGGGTATTAATATGTTAAGGTTTATGTAAAATGTGTGTAATAGGAACTGGTTTACAATAAAACTGCATAGAAAATTAATTACTGTCTATGTGTTTTCAATTTTGTGCATAATAATCGTTATTTGTGCCGTACAGTAGCTATGCCAAATTTTTCAATAAAGCACTTCATCAGATCTTACGATGCATTGCCATTTATCACCTCCGCAAAGTAAATAGTTTTTATTCTATTTATCTGTTAGCAACATAATGGGGAAAGTTTTGGACAGATTTTAATGACATTTTCAGAAACTGTCCACAGGGGAACAAAGTAACAAGTGATAAAACATTGTTGGCCATTCATTAGTTAGTAAAAATTGCTGAGAAAAGGCCTGGCATTGCAGAGGCCTGCGTTCTTGGAGTGCTTTTCCAGTTAGTGTTGTGACCAGATTAAAATATGATAAACGGTGGTGATTTGTTTGCTTAATAGCATTATCACCACCACATTTTACCCAAGTTAACAAGCACATTCAGAGTAAGTACCTACCATGGTAGTAGCATAAGGCTTCAAATCCATAACAGTTAAAATTCATACATAGGGCAACTTTTTCGTCCTTGAAATTAAGAAATACCATATTTTGAGATAGCATGGTGAGACTGATATTATAATTTATTGTAAAATGTTTTGAATTTCTTCATGGGAATGTAAATATCGTTAAGTGTTAGGTGCAGTGGAATTAATCTGCTACTGGTTACATCTTTATAAGTTAGTGAAAACTGCACTATTATTTATTTCTTGTTAAAGATCGAATTGGAATATACATGTAGCTATGCAGAAAAAAGTGTCTAAAATAAAAGTAGTGGTAGAGCAATTGCCAGCAAGTACAGAAATTCCATTATTTCAAGACAAACTTTTATTGCTGCTAACAGAAAATACACACTTCACTAGATAAATCCTTAATCAAGAAACCGAAATGTGTAATCAGTGTAATGACTTGTATAATCATTTTATAAAGTGCAAATTAAAGAGATAACAACTCTTTATATCAGATTCAAAATTTCACAATAAATACATTGGAAACAACACAGATATTAGTCCACTAAATTTCATTTTAATACCAAAATGGCACTTATCGCAATTATTCTGAAATATATGCTTGCCTTTGGATCACACGGACTTTTGTAGATGGCTATCCTCTGTGATTATCTCTTAAAAGATTAAAAAAAAAAAACACTGACTAACTTCAAATGTCAGCATGGATTCAATAACCATTAGTAAGTATAGGAATATACATATGTTTACCCAAGGAAAATTTTTATGTCACTTTTCCTGCCAAGATGAAGAGTTGTTATCCCTTTAAGATACCCAAAAATAAAAAAAAAAAAAAACAAAACAATTAGACATAGTGTACTGTTGATCTGTACACTCGACCAAAAAAGTTTGGAAATGTTATTTTTGATAATTATAAAATAACCATATTGAGCAAAAGTAAATTTTTAACCAAATTTTGATGAATAATGCACCCACCAATCATTACTTTTTTATATACACTGACCGTTTTCCCACTAATTTACATAGTGTTTTATTATTGAAAAACAATTTTATATTTCCTAACTCTTTTTGGTCGACTGTATATTATAAAACTGTTTAAAATAGATGCATTAAAACCAACTATATTTATTAAGGGAAAGTTGCATAGTTATTCATGCATGTCTTATTTAATGTGAGGCCATTCCACTCTAAAGTATTATTTTCCTTACGAGTGCTGCCACATTATGAAAGAACATCAACATAATCAAGCAGATGAAATACTAAAACAGCCTTCATTATATATTGGCTTGACCCAGATTTAAATTTTCTTCCTGTATTGCAAAAGTAATAATTTGACAATTTCTTAGTGAAAAGAATTATTCATAAATTCTCCGTTTTGCATCTTATAGCATCCACCTAATCCAGGTATATTTGCAATCTTGTCTAAGATATCTTTCATAAATGTACAGTTTTACAAATCAAAAACTTTTCGTTTGCTTACTAAGTTTCCAAATTTGGTAATGATGGACATTGTGCACCTGCCTGGATGGTTGTCAGTACATGATCCTCTTGATTAATACATGCATTAATTATGTTTACAACAGGCTGTACCAACAAACTACTTATTTAGCAAAAAGGTCCATTACATTTTGATTTCATTGCATCTTTCTTTGTAACTACCTTTACATAGGTACTAAATCTATTGAATCATACAACCTTTGAAAGCTTTAGATAACTTGTAGTGCAAAAATGATTATATAGTACTAACAAACAATTTAATTATAAAATCCCATGTACTAGTATAATTTGCATGTATGTTATCACTATGCAGCCATAAATCCACTCTTAAGGATACTACAAGCGTTTGCCAAAAACTCTTTATCTACTTCCTTACATTCATTCCTTTGCATATAGCAGATAAATATTTAGTATTCAGGGTGACATCATAGTTGTGATTTAGGAGTAAAAATGGAAAAATCATTTTGTCAAATTTCTCTTTTACAGGAGCACATGAGAATATCATTTTTAATGCCAATTTAATGACACCATTTAGTACTCCAAAATCCTGCCAGCAATTTTCCTAAATGCCTTAGTTCAGATTTTATCAATGATAAAGCAAAATACACATTTGATTAATAAAAATCTATAATTAGGGGCTCACAACTCCATAATAAAAACATTTAAACCAAAATGACATCGATGGTATTGAAGCCCATGCACTTATGGTTAGCTGTGTCAGTTTATGTGATAAAATCTTTGTTTAGGGATGGAGTTATGTCCCATACCCATTACTATCTCACATCAAAATAATGTGTTAAATAATTGATGATAAAGGCCTTTGAGTTGCAAATACATAGCAATGAGAAATATAAACGCTGATATTTGAAATTTTTTAGGGGATTTATATTGTTGTAAATCATTACAAAGGTACATGCATTATTGAATAATTTAGTGCAGGAAAAACTCATTTCGGTGTATGGATGATAATAAACCCTTACCATATCCTTTAGTCTTAATGCATGTGCCTAGGTTAAATTTTGATTATAATAAATAAAATATGATTAGATAAGATAAGCACATTAGGTATTATAGAAATAAACAATGACATATCAAAGTATATCATTATAAAAGTGAAATATTCTACATGATGCATTAGATAAGAGAGGCATGTCAGATATTATAGAATAAACAATGACATTTAATAGTATATCATAGTAAAATATTCTATATGATTCACATATAAAAATATTGTAAATAAGGAATGAAACACTACAAATGTTTCAGTAAAAAATTATTTCCTTGCAGCTATGAAAGTAGGTTTGCTGTTCATGTGCTTTAAAGTGGTCAGTTGTTGTTTGATAAAATTGTCATGCATCAGTGGGTTTGTATGGTAGACCCACCAAGAGAGATGGATGCTCCAGGCTGTGCTCGGTTCCAGTGAAGTGTGGTGAAGTTAATTGGCCGTTCCCACTCTTCTACCAGATGTTTGCTTGAAGGCTGTACAGTTATGGAACAGTAGACAACAGACCTTGTGTAGGATGAGATTGCAACCACCTGACACCAAGATATGCAAATCCACCTGCAACATCTTAGGGACCAGTTTTGCCCAACAAGCCACACTGCATGTGAGACATGCAATTCTTCAATACAAAGATGCCTGCCATGGCAATACTGCCTTGCATAAAGACCCCAGATAAGAGAGGAATCTCTCAAATGTATGAGACAAAATGTCATATGCCATTCCTGCAACAGTGCTCAGAGATGTTTCCATATGCCAAGAGGATAATGCTTATTGCCATGCAGCAATGGTAAGCCTAAGCCTACAAAATTTAAGAACATGTCCAACTACCCTTTTATATACCAAGATATGTAAATCTGCTTTTAAAATCTATGGGAACAGGCCCATTTGGCAAAACAGATTGTGTAAAGGAATCCATCTCCTGTAAACAGGTACTAGCTGGAGGCATTCCTGGAGGAGCGAAACCAAATAGATTCTTACAAGAGGTAATCTAAAGACTGGTATGCAACATGCCTCAGAGATGTTATGCATGTGTCAGAGTGCAAGGAGGTCATATTTTGTATTAAGCCCACTATTTTGAGTTTGAAAGATTCCAATCTAATTAAACCTCCATTTAGGAACTTTGAATTTCTTGGTTGTGCTAACATAATACAGTCATAACAACACCCTTTAATAGCTATCTATCTTGTAGAGTTACTTTAACAATAAATTATGTAAAAAGACTCTGGGGAACGTTTTCTTTGACTGCCAGTGTACATAATGTGCATTTAAGGGGTAGATATTTGAGTGAGAAGAATATGGATGAAGACAGATTTGATTTAAAAAAAAAAGCACATCATTAGACACTTACTTCACCTCTGTTAATATAAGAATTCTGAGTAAACATACTACATAATCCATTTAAGTTAATACATTTAAATGTTAAAAATATGTGGTATAATAACATTTAATATCATCTATCAAACATTTTTCTTTTCATCTTACAACTTCTCTTATTTTCTTTTTATGGTAAATATTTAGGTGAAACATTTCACAAACAATATAATTTTGTTATCATGTTTTGGTAAGGAAAAAACCTATTATGGACCATAGTACAAAAATGATCCAAGCTATTAAATTTACCCTCTAAAAACACCAAACACAAAAAAAAAACAGGCAAAAAATGAAACACTGAAGTTTTTGCACAGAAACTGAAATCTGTCAGCTCATGCATACACAATGGAGGGGAATTTGTGAATTTTACAGATACTGTATTTTTATGCTATAATCTCTGAAAGTTAAAACATTCCTGTTGTTAAAAAGCAGGCTACTCTACAGTTCTATTCTATGCAGTAAAAGCACTACAAATGCTATATACAGTGTTTGAAATTATTGCTGGACTGTCTGCCCAATGTTGGCAACTTTCAGAACAGGCCGAGAAGTTTTCCCACCTGGCAGACACTCAGTCCAGCTACTTTTCAAGGTGGCTGGACCTTTGGTCCAGCAACTAATTTTCCTAAGAGGCAAACACTGGCGATATAGAAATATATACTTTAGTGATTATAAATTGATGTTTTGTAAAGTTTAATAATTTTGCCCACTGAAAAGATCAATTCATTACGTTAAGATGTATCCAAATTTGCCATTTAATACATTGGGTAGCAATGGGTAAGGCCTACAGTTACAGCACAAGTGTCCATTTAGGGCAGGGTATGCTATAATCATTGTCATTAAACAGACAGTAATTTACTCCAGTCAATAATAATTTCAAAATATGGTTTATAGCTATTATCAGGCAGAATTGACATTTGGAAATTGTTTTAAATCAAAGCCGTGGGCTAAGAATAATTCTGGGGGAGGGGGCAGTTAAAGGCCATATACAATGCATGCAAGCAGGTTATTTCTTTAGTCTTTGGTACTAATCTAGATGCTAACTACATCCCCCAGCCTATGTTCCTGTAAATGATACAATCTGACATAGAGTTCCCTGACTTTTAGTAACATTGCCAGAAGCTCTATAGGTTGTAGGCTATTTATGTTTCACTTCAGTTGCAAATATTACTGTATGTATAGGTCAAATTTATACAAGTCCGACATGTGAGCAACAAAGTGCATCAAACAAGGTTCAATGTTTTTGCAATATCTTGGGTAAGTACAGCTCGGATATGAATGTCATGGAGAAATAAATGTCCACTGTTGAACATTCTTATACCAAAGCTGAAATCCTTGTGCCGTATATCTTCCCAAGCAATTAGCTTTTCCCTTGCAACAAATGCATCCTTCTTCCCACCATATATCTTCATGGGGCAGGGGAGTTTGGCTGAGTGTGTATATTCATATTTTTTGCTCATTTCATGAGTTGCTCTGAGAACAGGGACAAACTGTCGAAGGGTCATAGGATTGTTGATGATTTTCCCATCCAAAAATGTCAGCTGCTGTGCCTCTTTCACAAAATCCTCATTGTCCATGTCGCTGTCTAGGATTTTATTTCTGAAAGTAGGTATTTCTTTGTATGGTATTTGTGGTGCAAACCATGCTCCCATGAAAAGGTGTGCTGGAAGAACCCCTTGCTCATTCAAAAAGTATGCCAGTTCAAAGGACAAAAGGGCTCCAAAACTATGACCATAGAAGGCAAACTTCCCATGCATCAAAAGTGGTCTCATTTCACAGGCCAATATACCAATGACTTCTGACATATTCTTCATAGGTTCTTCCAAGCGTCTTCCTTCCCAGCCAGGCAGTTGAGCCACATAGACCTGAGTGTGAAATTTTGAAAAATATTTTTGCCACCCATTAAATGATGTCAGTCCTGCACCTGATGGAGGGAAACAAAAAAGCTGGAACTGCGGATTTTCCAGAATTTTCTCTGTGATGAAGAGAGAAGTTTTTGCCTCTTTGGATTGGTCAGAACCCTTGACAACCTCTGTTGATGCATTATCTCCTTTGGAATGCAGTTGCATGTAGATTGTGGAAACTAGCTGCGCAACTGTCGTGCTGCTGTTCAGAAGGTCTACTGGTGGAATTGATACATTGAATTCATTATCAATGAATGCTCTTAACTCTGTAGCCATCAAGGAGTCCAGTCCCATTTCAACTGGAGATGTGTCTTCACTGATGTCAACTATACCTAAGGTCTGCAACAGATAATTTTCAATCTTTTCTTTAATGCTACTCTCTGTTTGGTGTGATCTTGAATATTTGCCAACAGCGAGTTCTTGCAATGTTTTCATGCTAAAAAAGTTTTGCAACCTTGATAATGTTACATCACCTTCTACTGCACCTTTTGTGATGACTGAACGATGTTTACGTGCATACAATGCTTCATCAAAATGACCAGTGACACCTAAGTGACTGCACTGAAGCTCAAGCATTGTTCCCAAAGCTGCTGTTGTTTGGGATGGAGAAATGTTTCCTAGGCCTTTCTCCTGCCATACTGACACTAAATTGTTGTCAGCTGCAAACCCTGCCTCTGATATTACTCCAAAACTTGCTGCAGTCGCAGGCAGTCCCATACTTCTTCGCATCTCTACTAATGACACCAACACAGAGTTTGCTGTGGCGTAGTTGCTTTGCCCAACATTTCCTATCAAAGCCACTAGAGATGACATCATCACAAAATTTGCCAGAGGTAGGACATATTTCAATGAAATTTGATGTAATAAAACAGCTCCATATGCCTTTGGTAACATTACTGCCTCCCAGTCTTTCTCAGACATGCTGGTCATCCAATTATCCAAGTAAACTGTTGCGCAGTGAAAAATGTTTTCCACTGGGGGTTGAGTTTCCACTATCTCTGAAAACACAACATCTACAGCACTGGCATCGCTGACATCACATATATACAGTTTAATGTCTGCATTTTTACCAAGCTGATCAAGGACACTTTGGTTTGCAGTTGTTGGATTACTTCGAGTAAGTATGACAACATGTTTTGACCCTCTTCTGATAAGCCATCTCACAACTTCCAGACCCATACCCTTTGCACCTCCAGTGATACACTGTGTCATTTCTGGATTAGGCTCATAAGTGTCTTCTGAAAAGGTAGAAATCATTCCCATGCTAGGTCTATCAAGATGAATCACCCTACCCATGCATTCCTGCAGATTCTTGTTTTCAATTTTTGAAGCTGGCAAAGCATGGCCTATGGTTGGTAAATGACACAATTTGTTAGGTAATGCATCAACAAACTTCAGTATCTCAGCAAGATATTGTGGTGTTTTGAGGAGTTGTTTCACCCTGGCACTAATTGGTAGTAACTGGATGTTTTCACAAATGCCATTAAAATTCCTGAGCTTTAATGGGGTCTGAGTGAAAACAACAAACACACCAAAATCGCAGAGGCAATCAAGGCACTGGAAAAATCCCTTCTTGTATATCAGATACTGGCCAGTTGCAACAACAGCACTGAACTTTCCAATATTCTGCAAAGCATCTTCTTGGAGAACCTTTTGATCTTCCACAAAATCACTGATTTTTTGTCCAGATGGCAGTTTTTCATGATCTGGGCAGTCATTATTGCAACAGTAGCTTAAAATGGTAACATTACACCCTGAGGTTTTGAGAATCTGTGCAGTGACCAATCCTTTCCTGGATTCTTCACAAGTACAAACCAGCACTCTATCATCTTCTTGGACAGATTTGGCAGAGTAGACCATAATTACACTTGCTAAAGCATCATTCACCAGAGAGAGTAATGTACTGCAAGAAGTCTCGAAATTTCCTAGTGGCATGACATTTTCTTGAGGGATCAAAATTTCAGATTTGAGGCATCCCTTAAAAACTGCGATAACAGTTTGCCCATCTTGTAAATTACCTCTGCTGCCTTCACCTTGTATTACATGCCCTGTGCAAATGAAGTGTGGGTCATCAAGGCAGCCATCTGCAAGAAAGTGCTCAATGGATATCTTGAAACAGTTTTCAGGTTGAACACCTGTGACTGTATCTGCTTCATACACAAATTTTATCTGCTTTGTCTTGTTTTGATGCAGCCTGAACTGGTGAGCAACAATGGGATGTCTTCTAGTCAAAGGTGATTGGAACTTTGCTCTTCTCACAAATAACTGTAGTGTTTGTGCTGTTTTATGGCGAAGTGCAAACTCATTTTCCCCAAAAGGTGGAGAACGGAGTAGGTTCATGAGCTCATTTTCAGGTGTTGAGATGTCACTCAAGCTCGAAATATCTACCATATAAATCCTGGCACTAGGGTACTCATGGAGTGTACTCAAACCAACTGCAAATGTAGAGGCAGTGAAAGGTGATACTTGATCTCCTTCGGATACCTGAAAACCCTTGACAGTCATGATCCATAGCTTTGGCAATGCATCTCCAAGTTTTAAAATGCTGAGGATAACATCCCTTGCAAATGATGAACTGCTTTTTATAAGCTTCCACACATCTTCTTTCTTTGTAATTGTTGGCCCAGAAATATGACTCTCATTTTGGGAAATGAGTATCAGGACAATATCATCCACTTTTGGTTTTCTTTCTTCTTGGAGGTCAAGTATTTTCACCATTCCATGTAGCTTTGTCAGTGAACTCTGAAGAACAGTCAAATCTTCCTTGTTGTCACTGGTTAAGTAGAACACCGGGGATGTCTCTTCTTTCTTTTCATTCTGTTTGGGTAATGCCGCTTCAACCCAGAAGATGCTCCACACCTTCATTGGATCCTTAGAATGCTCCCCTTCTAATGACTGAAAGGACAGGTTGTCTATCCTACAGCATACAATTCCAGAATCTGCATCAATTGCCAAAACCTCATTTTGATCCTCATCAGTTGCACTCAGCATTTTGATGTATATAGCTACCCTTTTGGGTGTTTTCTTGCTATAGTAAGTAAAGCGCTTTAGTGAAGATGGGAGTGCTGGAGAATTAGTACGGAGCAAGTGGAGAACACCAAAGCTCTGCATCACGCAATCAAGGAAAGCTGGATGAAAGTTGTACAGCATAAATTCTTTCCAAATTTCATCTGGTGCTTCTGTATGAATTAGGCACTTTGTGAAGCTTTTGTTAAATGATGCCTGTTGAACTGCTTTGAAGGATGATCCTAGTTGGATTTCACCCACAGCCAGTTTGCTGTAAAATTCTTCAGAACTAACGTGTAACTCAAGAGAGTCTTGTATATGTTCCAGTTTTCCTTGGGGAAGAGTAAATGCTTCTCTCACAATATCCTCTTGAGACTTCAAATCATCTTCTTCCAAAGCCACGACTTTACAGCTGATGTGCTCTGTGTAGTTGTTCCGGTCACCACTACATATTTTGATATTTGTTGTCTCATCATTTTCTTGAAAGATTGTATGTATAGTTGCTTCTCCATTCTTGGGAAAGAGAAAGTGTTTGAAGTCCACTTCTTCCAGTGTGATAGTTTCTCTTTTTTGGCGCACTGCATTGACAGCTTCCAGTGCTGTTTCTATGTGGGCTGTTCCAGGGAGGATGACACTGCTTTGAATGATGTGGTGACTAACCCAAGGTGTAGTTATTCTTGAAATCTGGCTTTTCCAGTGGAATTTGAAGGGGGGTTCATTGATATACATGCTGACATCTTCTTGCATTTCTCCCAGTAATGGATGGCTATGGACAGGAAAAAGGTATTCTCTTCTCACAAAATCTGTTATTCCACTGCAAGTGATACGTTCCCAAGGGTAGAGGGGTAAATGCATCACTTTGTAAGCAGATGGAAACATGGCTTCATATTGGACAGGGTATCCTTCACAGTGGAGGGCAGTCAGGGTCTTCACAACATTTTTCAAATCTTCTAAGATTGGTGATGAAGCTATAGGTCTTTTAAGTGTCTCTAATACCACTACTTTCACTGGCTTGTCTGCTCTTGCTACAATGATATCTTTCATTGGACCTCTAAGAGCTGGATGAGCACCAATCTCAACAAAAATGGAATAGCCTTCATCAAGAAGAGTGTCCACAGCACTTTGGAATTTGACTTGTTGTCTTACATTTTTCCACCAATACATGCCATCATTTACATCTGCATAATGGTTGTAATTGTTGGTAACAGTGGAAATCATGGGAACTTGGACAGCACTGACCACTTCTTGTTTTGCTAGTGGTTTCATCTTTTGGAGAAATCTCTCTTTCAGTGGCTCTTGTTGGTAGCTATGAAATGCATTGTTTACTTTCAGTTGAACAGCTCGAATCCCTTCTTGGTTAAACATTTCAGCTAGGGCATCGACTGAGGATGCTGAGCCTGAGAAAACTACTTGTGAAGGACTGTTAATGGCTGCCACATCAACATATACAGAATGCTTGCTTTCATTCAGTTTTTCTTGAGCTGTGTCTGTATTGTGTAACACAGCTAGCATTTTCCCACTGCCGCTGGTTTTCTTCAGTAGCTTACCACGGTTGTAAATAATCAGCACAGCACTCTCAAATGATAGCATACCTGATGCATAAGCTGCAGCCACTTCTCCTACACTGTGACCTACCACAGCATCTGGCCGGACACCAAATTTCCGCAAGACTTCAACAAGACCTATCTGAATGGCACAGATAGCAGGCTGGGCATATTCTGTAATAAAAGTGCTTGTAGTCTTCTGGAATTCTTAAGTATTATATTGTATTTATATATTTATAGTGGACAAATTTAACAGGTGATCATCACAAGCAACAAAAGTTGGAGCGGCCTACTGCTAAAGAGACAAAAGCTTGAAGCCATGAGACCTCTTCTTGGTGTCTTTACCTTCATGATATCTCTTTTGTACTCTGTAAGCTAGATTAACACATATTAACCACAAAATGAAAACAAATTGTCATATATATGGTATATTTACCAGTTTGATTTATCAAATCTTCATCCTGATTGTTCATTAGTAGCCACTGCATTGACCACTTTGCGCCACACCTTTTCAAGCAGATATCAAAGTTCTGAATAGAGAAAGTTATTGTATTTTATAATTAAAATACCTCTATTGATGTTGAGGTATTTAGCATTTGGAAGATTAATATTACTAAAAATCACTTATAATTATGAATACCAATTTAGGTCCTACTTTTACAGAAGACAACAATAATTTCACTGATTCCATTTTTGATTAAACAATAGTCTCCCTCCTGTAATAAGAAAAAAAGGCCAAGTTGGGACTCTTATGAGCTAATAAAGATTAGAACTTGTCATTGGCAATGGGCTCCAGACAGAGCCAAAATTCACTTATTATAAAAAAAAGCTTTGGCACCCCAGTACTACCCACCACATAATTTTATTTAAAAGTATCACTGAGCAAAACAATACGTGCAGACTTGACATTGTAAACATGGAATATTTCAGTTCAGTAGGTATGTCTTGGTATAAAATATACTGTTTTTAAAAACTTTTATTTCATTATGAGATATGTGAATATATAAATGTGTGGTATTAAGGTGTGTCAGAAGTACTAAATTTATTAATTAACTGCCTTGTCTGTAGCATTACATAATATACAATAGTTTTATTGAGAGGTACTCTTGACTGGCCTTTATACGAGTACGAGAGATCATGGTTCTATTTAAAAAAAGTCTCCATATTTTGATAGTAACTTCACGGATAATTTTGCATACAATTAGTCAGTTAAAGGGAGTATTCAGAACAAGTTGATTTGCAGACTAACAGATACATGGATCAAATATGGGCAACCCACTTAAGAGCTTGCAGTATAATCCCCTAATAAACACTGGAAAGAATCCCCATGGGGCTAGGTGGTAAGCTTTCAAATGGGTCATCAAAATTTGATCTGCAAATCAGTCAGTCCATAGATCAACTTCTGTTGTGAATTTGGCCAAACTGTAGATGTATTGAGCGAAGCAGTGTTTCACAGCACTGTAACTCTATCAGAATGGTCCAAAACACTGCCAGCATTGCCATACAAAATGTTGTGTCACAAGAAACTGTCTGTACAGTTTTGCAGAGTAATGCCCAGAAGAGTTTACCTAAGCAGAGGTATCCACATCTTACCACCAGCAAACAGGACCCATTGTTCTTATGGTTTTGCTCCTTGAAACAAACAAATACAACTGTTCACTTTAGCATGAGGGCCGGATTGCAACCAGGAAGTGTTTTTCTAATACGACAAAGTATGAGTTACTGGACAGCATTGGTATTTGTAGTAAAATTCCAATTAGCAGTCATCCATGGAAACCTGAACCATGTCAAATATTTGGCTTTTGGGAATCTCTTGCTTACCATTTGCTAGAAGGCACCCCAGGAACAATTTTATCTGCATGACCAGGGGCCTGATTTGAGCCAAATACAATCTGTGGGTTGTCAATATTTGCCAAATCAATGGTCTACTGGTCCTACAACAAATCTGAACCAAACTGAATTTTTTCCAATACCTGGAAAGTTCTTCCTGATGAAACTCTAGAAAACCTGTCAGAAGGAATGTGCATGCCTTGCTGCTTAAGAGACCTGGCAGCAGCCAGATGAGACCAGAAGCACCTTTGGCAAACCTTGGACTAAACACTGATATTAGCAACTTTTGTGGGGCATGCTATTCTTTCAAAGATGATCATTTAGAATGTACAAAGATCCACTAACAATGTTGATGTTTGTTGTATGACTAGAAATCAGCCATGTTTTTTGTCTGTTTAGCTATAGGGTTATTAAAGTCATAATAACTCTTCATTTTGGCCAAAAATTGGATTTTCCTAGAGTAAACGGCAATTTTCCCGTACTTACCAATGGTCAGCGACCCCATTCCTGCATTCAAAGTTAATCCAGGGTTTTTTTCCTAAACGTACGGTTTTTTGTTAAAATCTCTTAAGAGATTTTAACTGACGGAGCTCTCTCTGACATCGCCTAGTCACTGTTGACCTACTTAAAACCGCGGGAAAAGCAGACAACAACAACACTATATAAGATTCATGTGATATATTCGTGTTTTTTGTTAAAAATACATTAATATCCACAATGTGTGCCATTCTGGGCTTTTCGTTATCCGACGCACTGTACAAAAACTCGCAACTTACGTCTGCGTCTGCATTAATGCGTTTGGCGCCATATGTTATTTTGGTCTCGAATGAACGCGAGAATCCGCGCGACACCATTACGTCATTAGCAACGAATGCCTTGATGACCGGGAAGAAAAGCATCGTAAGCCCTACTGACGAGCACAGATTTTAGTTTTACTACAATAACGGCCGTTTTAGTGGTAAAATACAATAGAATATATTTCCATGCGTTGTTTACAATGTATTTCATGCGGAATTTTGAATCTCAAAGGAAGAGTTATTATTGCTTTAAGTTATGTAAGTGATGCCACAATGACACTAAAGAGATAGTTAGAAAGTTTCTAGAACATGATTTGAACATTTGTTTCATTTATCCATCAGAAAAATAGGGAAAAATTGAAGAAAAATTATTTGGAAAACAATTATTCAACATTCAGTGTCAAGTTTTTACACTGGCTGTGTCCAGCAAGATATTATAGTGACATGATTAATATTTCATAAATGGAACTAAATAATTCATAGCATACCTGGATTGTTTTGGCGAATGTTGGTTCTTGGTGAACAAGCTGTCGGCCCATTCCCCACCACTGTGTTCCCATGCCATTGAAAACAAAAACCAATGGTGTTTGTGTAATGGAATCAACAGCTTCACCTGAAACAAAACCAGCAGCCACTTTCTGTGTCTTGAAAGTCTCCAAAGAATGCAAAATTTCAGATGCTTCTCTCCCAAGAACACCAAGGCGATGCTGATGATGATGTGACCGCAGGCAAGTAGTAGCTGCCACATCATAGAACTTCTCTGGTTCTTGATCCTGTATCTTGCGAAACAACTCAATGAAGTCCTCAATGCGTGACAACAATGCTGTAGATGTTGCTGCAGATATCAACACAACCTGTTTACAAAAGAAAACAAAATCATTTTCCAATTTAAATAGAAGGAAAGCTATCCTTAACATTTTTTCTTAATGGAATGCTGTAAATTAGAAAGATACAGCATATAGTGCATTACGTACCATTAGGGAAGCTAGGTTACATTATCCAGCAGACATTAAAGTGTTAAATACTGACACTGAATAATTGGCCAAGCATTTTTGCATTAGATGCCACATGGCGTAACTTATTTCATAAGATTTGATGTGCCAGAATCCATGCCATACAAAGACAAGGCAGCAAAGCTGTCAAATGTACAGACAAAAAACAGGAAATAACTATGCACAAAATAGGCTGCTGTCAATTCTGATGCAAAAGTACATAATGTTAAACTGCAAATTCAACATCAAATTTTAATTATGCTCAACAGGTAATACCAATGTAAGTAAAATGTGTAACAAGTTCACACTTTGAAAATGTATAAGTTCCAGAAAAAGAAGCCAATTAGACTGCTTTTCCAACTCAGGCTGCATCTTAGTCCTGTATTTCTTTTTTGAAAGTTTGGCAATCATAAGTAACATGGTTTTCCCATAATGGTCATCATGGCAGCATCACCCAAAATTGTGTTTTCTTCTATTCTGATGCCATATTACATAATGGTTAACAGCATAATGACCGTCAATTGTCAATAATAAAATATATGTATCATGGATTTTCAGAAAATGTGACTAGCATGGGTCTTCAAGCCCGTGGAACTTCAAAGTCACACCTTGAAAATGCCAATATGTGAAAAATTAAATTTGCACAAAAAAAACTGTTTAACTGGCAGTAAGAATTACCAAACAGACTGCATTGCCTACTGAAGCTGTATTTTAGTCCCATGTTTCTTTCCTGTCAGTTTGAGAACAGTAAGTGACATGGTTTTCCTTAAATGGCCATCATGGGAGCAGTGCCCAAAATAGGGGTTTCTTCAAATTTTGATGCAATATCACATAATGTTTAACAGCATGATGACCATCAATTTTTAAGAATAAAATAGTAACATGGATATTCAGAAAATGTGACTAGCAAAGGTCTTCAGGTCTATGGAACTTCAAAGTCACAACTTGAAAATGCCAAAAAGTAAACAAGACAGCACTCTTCTGAAATGTTTTTTTTTTCCCATTTTTAACAATTTTTTTANGATTGGAAACCATACAACTGTTAGTGCCAGAGTTTGAGTATTGACTGATAGCGTCACATCTTCCAGATGTTAAGGTTGTGTATTCGCTAGCTGTCACCCCCATGTAAACACCTGAAAGCACACATTCAACATCTCATTACTTTGCAAATTGTATAATTACAATAACTGTATCTATAAATACAATCTGAATATAACATGGAGCTGGTAAAAATAGATAGGTACAATTTAGACAAAAGTACAAGTAAAAATTAATTTTTTGAGGAAATAACCTCCTGTACCCACCAGTCCTTAAGAGAGATGTCAGAAGACAAGACCACAAAAGGGATCAAGGCAGCAAAGCTGTCAAATGTGCAGACAAAAAGCAGAAAATGAAGATGCAGAAAACAGGTCATTTTGTCAATTATGATACCACAATAAATAATGCTTATAACAGCATAGTCAATTAACACTAAAATTTAATCATGCACACCAGCTTACATGGTCAATAAGATAACAGTTTCAGGACCATAAGTGAAAGTTCAAATTCAAATAATGAATATCCCCCTATGCGAAAAATGATGACGGTGCATAAAATAATATTACATAATGTTTAAAGACATAAAAAACAATACAATTGCTTATGTGGAAATACAGAAAATGCACAGAGCTTCTGGTGGATGGGAGTTAAAAGTCACATCTTGAAGATGCTAGTGTTTGAAAAATAATTTTAAAAAAATTAAAATAAAACATAACCAAATATTCTAATAAAGCCATCATTCAAACTTTTAATCTAGCTGTATTAACATGAAGCTGCACTTCAGTCCTATGAAACTTTTCAGTAAGTTTGAGTATCATAAGTAATGTGGTTGTCCCTTAATGGTCATCCTGGCAGCAGTGTCCAAAATAGGGTTTTCTTCAACTTTTATGCAATAATATAATGCTTAACAGCATAATGACCATCAATTTTTAATAATAAAGTAAAAGTTTGGGAAGGGTAAGTGACATGGTTTTCCTTTAAGGGTCACTATGGAGGCAGTGCCCAAAATAAGGTTGTCTGTAATTTTGATGCAAAATTACATAATGCTTTACAGCAAAATGACCATCAATTTTTAATAATAAAATTAAAGTATCATGGATATTAAGAAAATGAGAGATGGTAAAGTCTTCAAGGCCATCCCAGCAGGCATAGTGATGTTGGATCAACGTTGAAAACAGGTTGGGACGTTGAATTGCCGTTGATCTACCTAAATTCAATGTAAAATCAACGTTGATCCAGCCTTATATATTATATAAGAAAATAATTATATATATATATATAAAACTAAACCTTGGAAATCCTAACTTAAAGGCCATACATATATACCCTACATATATTTAGCCATCAAACATGTCCTACTGCTAAACACAACCAGGCTAAAAGGGTGTACCATGCTTAGGTTAACATATTTTTACAATGTACGTTATAATTGTGTACCTGTTTTTTTATACCAAAATTAAAAACATTTCAGGTCATTTTAATGTCTTTTCATGCAAGAATGTTGTCTAACAACTGGGGTTGATACAATGTTGTTACCTGACATTGATACAATGTTGTTATCTGACGTTGATCCAACTTTCAAATCCAACATTTATCCAATGTCTTAACAATGTTATGGTTCAATGTTGTTTCAACGTTAAAACAACATAATTTGCCTGCTGGGATGGAAGTTCAGAGTCACACTTTCAAAATGCCAAAATTTAAACAAAAGACAACTGTACTGAAATGGTTTCCTTTCCTTTCAGCACCTTTTTTACATAAAACAGAATAATCAATTTACTGTCATTTTTAAATGTACAACTAAGAAAATTGCTGACATAGGAAAATCATCAATAGAACAATGTCAAATGTCCAATTTGCTCCATTCTGAGATTCTGAATGTGGTGAATGATTGAATCTGAAAAACTGTAAAGATATGAGTTTATTTTCATTTCTGATATTTAATTACACAATACACAATACCAGGTTTACCATCATTATTATATAATCAACTAACAATATTGTTAAGATGCAGAAAATGTCAACAGAACACCTTTACATATCTAATTAGTTAAAAATGAGACCGTTAACATGCCTAAAAATTAAATCTGAGGAAAAAACACTTTTATACAAAAAAGGCATAACTTCATCAAACCTGAACCAATCAAGATGATTTTAAAACTCAACCTGTATTTTAGTAAGATTGATCACTCCTGTGAGTTACAAAACAATAGGATTATCAGTTTTCCTTGAAATCCGTTATCAGTGTTGCATATATGCTGAAGAAAGCAAAAAAAAACAGCATAACTTTTGAAAAAATGGTCTGATCATGCTAATTTTCAAACTTGCCCTGCATATTATAAATATCCATCAGTTCTGTTAGTTTCAAGCCAAAAGGTAAAATGGTTTTTCACATCATGTTATCAGTGATGCATATATGCTGAAAGAGGTGAAAAAAAAAATTAATTTTAATGAAAATGGCCCAATCATGCTGATTATTGAACTTGACCTGTGTATTGTGAATAATCATCAGTTCTGTAAGTTTCAAGCCAAAAACTAAATGTTTTTTCACTTATCATGTTATCGGTGTTGCATAAATGCTGAAAAAAGTGAAAAAAAAAGCATAACTTAGATTAAAATGGCCTGCTCATGCTGATTTTTGAACTTGACCTGCATATTATAAATATTCATCAGTTCTGTAAGTTTCAAGCCAGAAAATAAAATTATTTTCCACTTATTGTGTTTTCGGTGAAAGTGCACAGCGACGACAGACGCAGCTGATGGCTATATGTACAGACACATCTGTGAAGACAAAGCTGTTAAAATAAATCCACAGCTGACATGGGCAACAGCAACTTCAATGACAGAACTTTGCAGTCACCATCCTACCCAAGTACAGGTACACCGCAGCCAACCAAACATTCCTTACTGCAAGTGAGCAGTCAAGAGTCACAGTACTCAGCTTTGCACCCAAATAAACATTATCATACATGTTACATGTTCAAGAGGTGTGTTGGATGGTAATGGAGATGGAATGGGCAGGCACAGTGATCAAAACAAATCAAGCACATGCAGTGAAGAATAAGAATGGATTAACATGTTGTCTTAGTGAGGGGTCTGGTTCAATCGAGCATTTACTGTGGAAAGACAGTTTAGGGTTCCAGTACAGGTGCTTTGAAAATGTTTACTATACGAACCGCAGTTAGTCCCTCTGATGGACCTTGCTGGAATTCCACCATCTTCAAAGGCCTCCCACACCACTTCTAAGAGGAGACGGACTTGAGGATCCATGTGATTTGCTTCATCTGAAAACAGTTTCATTGAATTTCAGTGTATATATATTGAATTTTGTCAGTCTACTTATCTGTTTAAATGTAGTGTAACACTAAAAAACATACACAATCTTATGCTCAAGCATTTAAATCTTTTATTATTCTCGTTAAATGCTTCAAGTACATCTTTTTCTGTGTAGGTCTAGTTTCCAAAATATAAGCAGATAAGACATCGAAGATTATGTAAAGGAAAATTGGTTAGCTATAATAATACTGATAATATATCTGATAATAAATACTGGTTAAAGGTATAATTATTGTTCTGTTGGCTAAACAAACTAAAAGACAATGTAACAACATTCAATCAAGACATTGGAAAGGTTTGAACTAATGCTGAAACACACTTGAACATGTTTTTTCTTTTAATGAAAAATGTTCTGGAACATTCTGAAGGGCTTCCCAAAACAGAGCTGTTACATTCATTACAGAACAACATTAGAACTGTAAAAAAATACACCAAATGTTCTAGAATAGATTGAAAACCATAAGTGAACGTTACATGAGACAAAATTTCGTAGGGGATCATTCCAAACAGGCACACAGGCAAAATTACTTGGGCAAGTCTGAGTGTAGAAAACCACACCAAGAGAAGAGTGACTGCAGTGGATTTAGTAGTCACTACAGTATTTTTTATGATGTAACGATTTCATTAATCATTGGTAATTACCCTGTATGGGAAGATCGATATTCATACCAGGAACATCTGTTT